GAACCCTGTAGCCAAGGGGTTGAAGGTCCTCCCCAAGAGAAGGGCCCTGGCAACTGGCAGGGTCCCCCACCCCGCAGGACTCGGGACTGTGCTCGCTGGGAGCGCTCCAAGGGTCGGACACCAGGTTCCTCCTACCCCCGCCTGCCTCGGGGTCGGGGAGCCTATCGTCCTGGTACTCGAAGGGAGCCCCTGAGCCTGGAGTCTGAGGATGGTTCCTAGCAGTACTGTGGGGGGCAGGGACTTGGGGGGGCAGGGGGGCAATAAAGAGATTTGGCCTTGTTTGGCTTTCTTTGCTTAGTAGTGCCTAGCCTTACAGTATGGCTCTTTCTGAGTTTCTAGCAAGACTGATGGTATGGCAGAACAGCCCCAGCTTTGCTCTAAAGTCCCATTTTCCCAAGAGACCAGGGTCCGAATAAAGACAGGTCTGACATACCAGCTAGCGTGGTGGGTTTCAGGAAAACTGATAGATGCCAACATTTAAGCAGAATATGCGGGAACATAACACACACACGCCCACTTCATATACATCCATGTTTTTATACATACACATTTTTTTTAAAAATTGAATGCCTTTAGGTGGTAGACTGTACTTCCCTGTTTACCATAGCGTTTCTTCCAGCTTGGCCTTAGCTTATGCCCCCAGCACTCGCCTCTGTGGCTGCCTGAGGGCCCCTGCTTTTTACTTAAGTACCAATACAGGGAGGTCAGACCAGAATAGTGTGGCAGGTGTTTATTGATCTACAGGAGGAGAGCTGAGGACAGCCTGCTCGTCATGTCCTCAGAGACTCAGCATTGTGAATTGCCCCTGCAGGGTCATTTTTATACAGCATGAAGTAGCCCTGTACCTGGGCAGGGCTGATCTGAGTTGTACCTTGAAGGACACGTCCTGCAAAGGCCTCAGCCAAGGAAGGTGCCTGCCCTGGATAGAACCTCTGGAACATGTGGGTCAGCTGCCAGTGTGAGCAGTAGCCCACGTACTCCTTCATGTCTACTCGTCCAGGGCGTATCAGGGCAGGGTCCAGCCTAAGGGGACAAGGCAGGAAAGGCAGAGTCACAGGCACAAGTACCACCAGGACCCCCCCAGAACCTCCTGATCCTCCCAAGGCGCTGAGGGGGTGGAGTCTTGCCTCGCAGCCTCAGAGGGCCTCACCCCTTCTTACCTGTCAACATGGTTGGTGGTCATGAACACGATGCGTGCCTCGGTGGATGCCACACCATCCAAGGCATTGAGCAGTCCGCTGAAGGTGAGGCGACCCAGACCTTGGTACTTGACTGGGTCTAGAGGAAGGCAGAGATAAAGAAGTGTGGCTGGCCATGACCCTGCTTAAACCCTCTACTCCCCACCACATTCCCTGACTTATCTGTGCCTCTTGTGGACTCCTATTGCCAACCCCAGGCATCTTCGGTCAGCCCTCTGGATTTCCACTTTCTTGCACTGCTCCTCACTTACTCCTGTATCTCATTTACCTTCATTTAGAAATGCTTCCCCTTTCCTCAAAACTCCCCTCGCTTACTCTCTGCAGCTAGGTCTCGGCTAAGAAAGGCTGCATCCACGTCCTCCAGGAGCACCAGGCTCTGCTGTGGGGCCACGCTCAGCAGGTGGTTGAGCCGGTCGTCGGAGAGGCTGGAGTCTGTAAGGCTCAGCAGGCAGATGCTGTGTTCCAGTTCCCCTGCCAGGGCTGTGCTATGGAGGATGGGAGGACAGGAGCTGGGCAACCTGGGAAGCCGTTCCTGGGCCCAAATGCTTGTCCTCACCGTCCTGGGTGGGTCTCAGAGACCTAACCCTTCTATGACCCGAACGTTCCTCATGTCCCACGTTTATCCTGTTCCCTGGTGCCCACATTCAACTCCCTTTCCAACCCCACGGCCGATTTTTTTCTCCAGTTTACGGATTAAGAGAGAATGTGACCCTACTCACATAAAACTGCTTTTTCCACAACCAGGGGGCCCATAAAGCAGGTAGCCACGTCTGTAGGGAATGCCTAGGAATACAGCCAAGAGGATCATCAAGACCTAAAATGAATTCCTGTACTCTACCCCAGATGTCCACATTCATTCCCAACCCTGCCCCCTGGTGGCCTGATGACCTTGGTATGGGAGGAAATCACCCCCACGGCAACTTCTCTTTCCCCTTAATGTCTGGGAATTAGGCTAGAGCTTTATATTTGCCCGTCTGGCCACAGAGACCAGCCCGTTTCCCCCTACTCTGACACCACATCAAAAACGTCCTGGCCAGGAGCCCGGCTGCTGCTCACCTCTGTCAGTGTACCACTTGGGGTTATCGATGAATTCCCGGACGTCTCTGACAATTCGGTCAGCCAGACCCTGTCCTAGAACCACAGAATTCAGCGGCCGCCGCCGGCGTGGATAGCCAAAAGGACGCCACTCAGAGCCCATGGCTGTGTACATAACCGTCTTCCCTTCCTCCTGCTGCAAGGCCAGCTCTCGAGCTAGGAGGGGGAAGATGAGACAAGTTACAACTCAGATCTTCGCCACGCAATTAAGCAGAGCTGTGCCAGAACAGCTTCCCTCTTGGTCCCCTGGGCTGAGATCCTCCTCTCCAAGCTTCCCTTGCTCCGATGTCAAATGCCCCCATTCTTGCAACCCCCACGTAAGGCCAGCCTGTGCCATCCCACACCTTCCTCCAGGATGTTGAAGAAAACCTTTCGGTCAGTGCCCAGAGCTGTGAAGGTGACAGATTCCCAAGGGGTCCCTGTCTGCAGGTCTATCATCTGCATCTCTCGGCTTCGTTCCACTCGGATCCATTTCCCCTGATACCTGAATAAAAATGGTCAAGGCAGGGTGAATGAATGGGTCAAATCCAGCTCCCCTCATTCTCCTTTTCTACTCTTTGAGCCCTCCCTGGTTCCCAACCTTACCAGATAAAGTGGTTCCCAGGGCTGGGGACAAATTCAAACTTAGTGGAGATGCGCCCACTCTCATGCTGAAGGTACGAAGTCTCAACACTGAGGTGCTGAGTACGGGTACTGTGGCGGGTGAGCCAGCTAAGCAACCAGGCATAGCTTCGGTCTCGAGCAGGGACTTCCAGTGTGATCATGTAATGGCGCCGGAATGCCACCAGGCCCAGTTGGGCACCCTTCCGGGCCAGGGCCAGGGCTGTGCCCACACCCACAAGCCCAAATCCAGCCCCAAAGTAGGGATTGTCCTTCAGGGCCAGAATAAAGTCTGAGAGGGGCATCTTGAGAGGGAAACACTCAACTTTACAGGCTCTGAGGCATTTTCAAAACCTGGGGGTAGGGAGCAGCAGAGATGGGACAAAGCACAAGATTAGTTCAGAAACTGGACTCCACAATCCCTCCTCACCCTTGCCCACTCCCTCCCGCAGAAGCCAGGTGCAGGAAGCACAGGTCAGTGCTACTGGGTGTTTCAATATCCTCTGTGGGCTGGAGGAGGTGCTGGAATGCAAGAGCTGAGACTCCAGGCCTCTTTTTCCATTTTACCCTTCATTATCCTGTTCGTATCTCATTTTCTGCCAGAGGACTAGGTCTGAAGATTCTTTAAACATGAGAGAGCAATGTAACCAGCTTCTCATCAGGATAATGGACAGAATGTTTGTGGTCCCTGGGATTCGCTGAGATAGAACCCTGGCCAGAGTGAACAGGGGATGAAGAAGTTATTTTCTTCCACTGACCTGTCAGTAACCTTATGCCTTGTCACCATGATTAATGTCCTTCAAATACCCTGTCCTTTATATGCTCAATTGCTAACGTCCTGTTCAGCCCTTTATTACCTCCCAACTGCCTCTTGAAAATTAATTTTAGTTCTTGAAATGTCATCTTAATGGGTCTCTCTACCTACTGTTTCACCAAGTCACCTCACAGGGATCTAGAACTTTCTTCATAAAGTCCGCTTCAATCCTATTACTTTGGGTACCGCAACACCTCCAATGGCTGGCTCTCAACAGATCCCTGAATTAGGTAAACATTTCTTTGCCTGGTACTCAAAACCGTCCACAGCACGGCGCCCACCTATCTTTCATTCTTAGCGCCTAATACTCCCTGTTGTACAAACACGCAAAGAACCTTCTCCTTGCTCAAGCCCGTCTCTTTACGCGGAATACCCATTCTAATTGATTCTTTCCCTCTCTCCAACTGAAGACCTGTCCATTTGCTGCTTTCTCCATGGAGATTTTTCCCGAAACTCCCCCCCCCCCAATAAAACGTGACCGAGTCTAATTCTAGAGATCCCGAGGGATAGGAGGCTACGTCGTTTCTAGTACACCTTCCCGGCCCCTGCCACTTCGCGCGGGGCGCAGGGGGCACGCGGGGCGGTGAGCCGACGGCCGAGACCACCGCGGAGGCTCAGAGTAGAATCCAGAATGCCAAAATACCTATGCATGGAAGGCCACAGACAAAGCCCTTCCCCCTCCTGGCCCTTGACGGACGCCCAGAAGCCCCCTCCCGAACCCCCTCCACGCTCCAGCTCGCGCCTGCGGCAGCGTGATTTGGAATAACCCGTCACCCCGCCCCCTTACCGCCATGACTCTCTGGCCCTCCCTCTCGATGGTTTCAGCCCTGCGCACTTGAGGGAAGCGCCGCTCGGCCCCGCCCCCGCGTTCCTTCACCTACTTCCCGCCACACCCACCCAGCGGGCCCTGCCGCTCTGCCCCACAACTCTCGATGGTAGTCCTCGGGCTTCTCGGTTGGGGGAAGGGGCAAGGGGAAACGCCAGAGAAAACCATAGAGTACCCCGTCAGCCGACGAGCGGAAGAGAGAGCGGCCTCCATCGGCCCCGAAGTCCTAGAGGTGGCTGGGCCGGAGGCGGTCGCACAAAGGGAGTCCCGGGAGGCCGCTCCAGCCGCTGGCGGACCATAGAGACTCGGCTCCCGCCCGCCCTGGGCCGGGAGGTGAGTGAGCGGCTGCCGGGCGGGAAGTAGTAGGGGGTGCGTGTGGAGCGGGCCGCAGGCAAAAGTTTCTCGAGCCCCAGGATGAGGGTGGGCCTGGGCGGCGGGACCCCTCGGGAGGAGGTGCTAAAGGGAGCACGCCGACGATCGGGGCCCCGGCGCACCACAGCAGCAGTCCCGGTGCCCCAGCCGCGTCACTGTCCTGGACCCCGCCCGGTTACCCGCTGCCTCTCCTCAGGACCGTAATCATGACGATGCTCCATCCCAAGCTTTGCAGGTTACAAAACGCCTTTCCCATTTGCTGGCTCTTGTGATTCTCGCTCCCGCCCAACGATGTGGACGCTGTCATCACCTCCACTTTACAGATAGGAAAGCTGAGGCCCTGGGAAGCGAGGTGACTGTATCTGTCTGAGGCTACGCGGTGAGTCAGAGCCCAAAGGCAGGTGGAATCCCGGGTGCCTCAGGTCTCATTGTTTCCGCAGGCCCTCTCTCCACCTTAATTTGTCCTTTCTCTTCCTCAATGCCTCTGCCCCAAAGATACGCTCATTTCTCCTCTCGTGACTACCTGTCTCCCACCTCACCCGCCTTCCAGCGGCCGAAGGTTCAGGTTCTCCATCTAGAAGGACCTAGTCCTCCTTGGCTCCCCACAGAGCGGTGATAATATTCAGTAAGCGAAGGCTGTGGTTTCCAGAGAACCCTCTGACCGTGGAAGTGCACTTCCCAGCTACCTTCCCCTGAGCCGAGGTTTTGAGTTGCAGGGTTTTCACCTGCAACCTGATTTCCTAGCCCTAAGCCCTCACTCGACGGGCATGACTCAATTTCATGAAGCTATTACCGCCATTCTTATACATTACTAATTATTCAGCTTCAGCTAATTTTAGCCCTGTATAACAGGATATGCAGTTTAGTTGCCATTCATTTCTCGATTGTGTTCTGGTGTTTTCAATATGAGGCCAGAGTCAATGAGTTTGATATTTCTCTGGGTGGGTTACTTTATACCTAAGGAACCACTGGTTTGTTATCTTTGTAGAAATCTAGCTTTCCTCTGATGCATCTCTGTGTCTGCAGTTCTTCACTAGAATCTCATCTGTCTGACTTGTGTAGACTGTTGTGGTTTGTGTTCAGTGAAGTGATATTGTCAGTCAGTTGCACTCAGAAAGCTCCAAGTCTAGGGAGGGAGACTGAAAGGTAACAAAGGTGCAGTGTGACAGTTTCTGGCAGAGCTAGGTACAGATGCCAGTGGGACCCCAGAGGGGTCAAGAAGCCATAGCCAAAGTGACATTTGTGCAGATTCTTAAAGGATGGGAGTTGATTAGCCAGATAAGAGAGATGGAGAAGGGGAAAAGGCCCATCAGGCGGAGGGCCTTAGAAGCCATAGCCAAAGTGACATTTGTGCAGATTCTTAAAGGATGGGAGTTGATTAGCCAGATAAGAGAGATGGAGAAGGGGAAAAGGCCCATCAGGCGGAGGGGGGCGGGGCATGTGTGAGGGTATGGGAGCAAAAGAGGATGTGGTGAGCCTGGGGTGTGGCAGCTCATAGATATGGCTGGGTCAGAGGTCTGTTAAGGGGCGAGGTGGAAGATGAGTCTGGAGAGGTCAGCAAGGCCAGATCCTGAAGGAAGGGCCTTAGACCTATACTAAGGAATAGTGAGATCATAGTATGTTAAGAGGGGAAGGGACCTCTGAGATCCCTTTGCCCCAGTTTTGGTGCAGATAAGAAAACTGAGGCCCAGATTGCTTAATGATTTCACCAAGGTCACTTAGCTCCAAGAAACATAACCTTCAGTCTTTAATATATTGGCTAAAACTTGTTGGCTCTCTCCTAATGCTGATCCCTATTAGCATCTGTATACTTTTTGTTCTGAACATTGTTGTAAAAAGACTTCTAGGTTAGCTAGGTATGGCATGTTGCCATGCAAGGAAATGCCTAAGTGGGCAGACACTGGGCTGTGCCCCCACACCAACGGGGAAGAAAGTGAGATTTCTAACTCTATTTTGTTTGGGTTCTCTTCCATTGGCTTTTCAGCACATAAGGAGACCACAGAACACCAGTCAGTGGTGATGACAGACCCCGTGTTGGACTCACAGCCAACCAGCAACACTGGGGAGATGGATGGACTGTGCCCTGAGCTATTGCTGATCCCCCCATCTCTCTCTAACCGTGGAATCCTGGAGCCCGTCCAGAGCACCTGTCCTGCTGAGAACCCCACACCTTTGCCTGCTGACCCAGGCTGTCTACTGGTAGAGGCCACAGCAACTGAAGAGGACACAGGGAACATGGAGATCATTGTGGAAGCAGTAACTGGAAACCTGTCCCCAGGTGCTCCTGGAGAGACCCCAGGTACCAACCCAGTCGCTAGCAGGCCCCTGGGACAATCAACCCTGAGGTTTTCTCTGTGCTATTTTTGACCCTTTTGTATAAATAATGACGAGAACACAAGGTAGCATCTTATTTTTATTCTTAGAGATGTTGTCATTTGGTTTGCAGTTGGTGAATGTTGATTGAAGGCTGGCAAGGTGGTTCACAACCTGGTACCAAGCTCTTGGCAGAGCCTCTCCGTGCAAGGACTTCATGTCTGCTAGGCAGGAATCCAGAAGGGAAGACCTTTTTGACACCTCCACCCAATCCTTACTCCTATAGCGTATTGACCCTCCCACTCAGGAACTGCAGCCAGGGATTAGGCAAAAGGCCCAGCATCTCCACTACCCTGGGCTTGGCAGGGCTTCCTGGAGGTAATCCGGTATTTCCCTGCCCTAGTTTCTTATGTGTAACATCCGTAACTCATCCAAGTCATGTTGTCAAGAGTGGGAGTTGAGCATTTATTTTATGCTAGAAAAAAGATTCTCCCCTTTATTCTTCCCATATCTACAACTTCTTATTTTTAGATAACTTCCCCGTTTGTTAACTGCCATCCTCCGGTTACAGTTGTCACACCTTGCCTTGGCAGTGTAGTATAGTGACAACGAATCCTGGGAAAGATTAGCTAATTTGATCATAGAGTGTTTCTAAGCTTCTGTGTCATAAAGCAAATAATAAAGACAGAACAAACATGGGAAAAACATTTGCAATACAGACGAGATCGGGCGCATTCAGGGTGGTATGGCCATAGACAACATTTGCAATACATAAGGAAGAGTTATTCTCTTTAATTTTTTGTAAAGATTATTTATTTATTTATTTGAGAGAGAGAGAGAGAGAGAGAGCTAGCAAGAGCAGAGCAGGAGGGTGGGGTAGAGAGAGAGAAGCAGGCTCTCCACTGAGCAGGGAGCCTGATGCGGGGCTCCATCTGAAGACCTCAGGATCATGACCTGAGCTGAAGGCAGACGCTCAACCAACTGAGCCACCCAGGCACCCTGAGTTAATCTCTTTGAAATTCAAAGAGCTCCATAATAAGAAAAAGAAAGGGTGTTTTTTTTGGGGGGGGGGTTGAAAGGGAAAAAGAAACCTACATGCAATTCACTAAAGAAGAATAAAAATAGTTAATAACCATAAGAATGCTTAATCTCACTAACACACAAATTCCAGTTAAAAATAATTACGAGGGGTGCTTGGCTGGCTTAGTTGGAAGAGCATGTGACTTTTTTTTTTTTTTTTTTTTTTTTATTTATTTTTGCAAGAGAGAGACAGCACACAAGCAGGGAGGAGGGGCAGAGGGAGAGGGAGAAGTAGACTCCCTGCTGAGTGGGGAGCCTGATATGGGACTCGATCCCAGGACCCTGGGATCATGACCCGAGCTGAAGGCAGACGCTTAACTGACTAAGCCATCCAGCCGCCTGAGCATGTGACTCTTGATGTCAGGGTTGTGAGTTGAAGCCCCATGTTGGATGTAGAGATTACTAAAAAAAAAAAAACTTAAAAAAATAATAATTATGATATGCCATTGTTGTTTCTCAACTTTGGCAAAAATTAAACATTTTTTATAATACCTAGCGTTGGTGGGAAAACAGATACTGTCTTATAGCTTACAGAGAGTATAAATTTAGCATAATCTTTTGAAGGTCAATTTATCTACATAACAGATTTGAAAATATGCATACTCTGACCCAGTAATTCCATTTCCTAGGGCTCTGTCCTCTAGAAAGTGCTCACACGCATGCACAAGAATACAGGGGTAAGGATGTCTAGAGCCGCTTTATTTACAAGGGTTGCAAATAACCCAAATGTCCATCAGTAAAGGCAAGACCTCATTTTGACCTGTTCATGCTTGGAAGTACTATGAACTGGACAAAAAAAATACTAGATCTGAAGGTATTCATAGAAGAAAGTATCTGATCTATAGCAAGTGGGTGTGGGGGGGAAGCAAATTGCAGAGAAATGATTCAGAAAGGCCTAAAACAATATAGACCAAATTGTGTGTGTAAGGGTGAGGTTGGTTATTCTTTCTGTAGTTACATCCATGTCATTTGAATTGTTGCACTGAATTTTTCTTTAAACAAAGAAATGATAAAGAAAAAAAGAACCACCAGAGTAGACCTGGCACAAACCTGGGCTGGGGTCTTAACAAGTGCAACAGCCTTCACCTCCCAGAACTCTGGGTCCCTCCTCTCGTAGGGCAGCTAGAAGACCAAGTGCGTGTTTCCTAAGTCTTTCTTTATCAAGGTCCTGCCCATTGCTTAAGAAATGACAGTGATTACTATGAACACGATTTGGGTCTTTTGAAAACAGATGTTCTCCATTTTATGAATTACTGTGCCTTTGAAAAAAAATCTCTTTACAGAATGTAAAAAGTAACACTTTGTCATTTAAACTGCAGATATTATCCCCAGATTGTCATTTTCTTCTTTTGAAAGCTCCTAATTTTTCCTGAGGGCAAAACGTATTGCCTTTTCGTAATGCTTTCTGGATTTGGTTACTGCTTATTGTATTCATTCAGCAATGTTTATTAAATACCCGTTTTATGCCAAATATGGTGCTACCTACTGGGAACCCAGGTACATGTGCATATTGACTGTCCCTGACCTCATGGGGCTTACACTCCGGGGAGAAGACTTAAGGTCCATCTCCACTCCACCAATATTAAAAGATTCACCCACATTTTCTACTGGTAGCTAACGCCTGAGAGTCTCGTTCCATCTGATTCTGTGCCTTTCTCTGTCGGTCCTCTGCCTGCAGGTGTCCTGGTAAAGGTGGTGGAGGTGTACTTCTGTGAGCGCTGTGAGCAGAGCTTCGCAGAGCCCACTCTGCTGGCCCTGCACCAGTGCACTGAGACCCTTATACAGCCTCTAGCGGACCTCTCTGGCCCCCCATGCCCTGTAGAGCTGACCCCCAGCAACCTCCCTCTCTCTGGCCCTCCTCAGGGCCAGGGCCCACCAGATAGCCCCCTGCCGTGCCCTGTGTGTAGACAGGAGTTTGCCCAACCCCAGGCCCTGAAGAGCCACTTCAAGAGTCACCGGAGCACTCCCGACACCTTCCCCTGCCCGGAGTCTGGCTGTGCGTTCTTGGCAGAAGATCGCAAGGGTCTGCAGCACCACCTGAGGCTGGCCCACACCGCAGTTCCTGTGCCGTGTTCTTTCCGGGGCTGCCCCCTGCTCTTTGGGAGCCAGCAGGGCATGGAGCTGCACCGGCAGGCCCATTACCCTTTCCACTGCAACCACTGCAGCTTCATGGGCTCCAACGTCAAGCTCTTCCGGCAGCATCAGCGGAACCACGGGGCCGGGACGCAGGGAGAACTGTCTGCCCAGCAGAGTCCTCCATCCCAGGAGCTGCTGCCAGGTATGAGGCCAAGGCCCAGCAGTCCCTTGCCTGGAACGCGGCCACGGTCAGTCCTGTAGGAGAGGCGGTTGGTTCCAGTGCCATGAACGTGTGCATGAATGCAAGGGACTCTGGAGCAATGGTTCAGGAGGGCAGAATTACTGATGGACATGGGAAGGCCTCTTGAAACCTTGTGCCAGTCAGAATATATGAGACAAAGAGGAAGTCTTTGTCCATGACAATGAGTGAAATTTGGCTTTGGCAACACTGTGGCTTTGAAGTTACTTGATGATGATTCTTTTTTTGATTCATTTCAGAACTTTCTGAGGGCAAAAGCTAAAATACTGTCAGCGGCTGTAGCCACTGGTGGAATGCCTGTAGACTTCCTGTTAGAGCAAGTGGGATTGGGCCAGAGAAGCTGGGGTTATTTTAAAAAGAAGCCTTCAATGAGGGGTGGTACTTCACTGATTCTTACTCCTCTTGGTCTCAAAAAGAAGGCATGAGGTGAATAGAGGAGGAGGAGGAAGAAATAGGCCAGGAGAGGCCAGGATTCTGCTGAGAGACCTAGGCTTGCTAAGACTGCTTGGTGCTGTGTTCCCAAAGAGAAGACCCCTCTTTCCTGGGATATAGTCCTACGTCTTTGCCTTATTGAAGCAACTGCCTCCGTGGAGAGGTAGAAGCGATGAATTGGAGGGGAGAGGGAGTGACCCTGAATTGCTGAGTTAGGCTTCTTAGTAGACCAGTTTAGAGGTCAGGCTATGTTCACCTGCACTGGGCCACCGGCCATTAGCCCTGGGAACCCGAGCGAGGGAAGTGCAGTCTACCCATTCTTTACCTTCCAGCCGCCTTCCCCCACAGTGATCTCAAAGCCCTTGCCTTCAAGGGGTCTGAGGATGGTGTTATCTGAGGTTTGATTTGCTTTAGGTTGGAGCATTAATGATAGCTTAGCTCCTGGTCTTCCTCTGTCTGCCGTGAGTGGTAATAAATGTATAGACCTCAAATCCAAGTGCAAGGTTCTCTTCCACTAAATGGGGAGGGGGTGGTCCTGCCAGCCAGGAAGAGCAGCAGTACAAGCAGCCGCTGCTGTTGTTGGCTCCTGTAGACATTATCAAGTTTTATGTGTCTCCAGCCCCCAAACTGCCCCCTAGAGAGGAAGAGCCGTCAGAACGAGCAGATACGCCCTTGCCCAGGCAGGAGTCAGCAGACGAGGAGGACGTGGAGGAAGAAGAGGAGAGTGGTGCCCTGAAGGACACCCAGAAAGCCCTGGAGAAAGGCCAGGGGCCTCAGCAGTTAGAAGGTAATGACGTGATTAGGCTTGACCCTCTTGGTGGTGGGGAGGAATGGATCGTGGCTCTGGGCTTTGGTTTATAGCCTTTTGTTCTTAACCTTCCACTTTGATTTGTCTAGTGGGGAAATGATAAATGGGTAAAGACTGTAGAAACACAGAGTAGGGGTCAATAGAGTTTGCTCTCCTGGGCTGGTTTTCCTCAGGCAGAAAGCTCTTTTGCAGGAAAGGAGAGGGTGATATTCATCATATAAAAGTACCAGAGGCTATTGGTCAGCAGCCTGTCTTGTCTGGCATTGGGCCCATGAATATTTTATTTCTGAATCCTTGCTTCCCGGTTTTCCAGCTCACTAGAACAACATTCGAAACCCATCCATCCCACAAGGAAGCACGTTTACTGTCAAGTGAATAGAAAAGATCTGATTTGTACAGTTCTCTACGATCTAGAACTCAGTGAACCAGTGTTTAGAAGCAGGAGTACTTGACCTTCTTCTCTTCCCTTCTACACACTCTGTGGGTTTCTTTTCCTTCCAACCAACCCTGCTGGTCCCGCTGCCTACTCCCGTGAACGAGGGCAGGAAGAACGAGAATGCTTCATCCAGATTATTCTCTTGAGCAGCTCTGGACATAGGCTTAGGAATAGTAGGTGGCTGGGTAAAGCACTTCAGATGGGCCCACAGCAAGGTCAGAGAAACCCTTGTGATTTTGCTTCTCCCACTACTTGAATTTCTCGTCTCTCTTTTGAGACGACGCTGTTTGAGATGCTGTTGTTAGGCTTCCTGCCCAGAAAAGGGAAAGGCCACGCAATGTTGCATCTGGGCAAAGGGTGGTTCTCCCGTCATCTGGGCAAGCCCCGGCCCCACACAACCTCGCCCAGAGGATGTCAACCCTCTCTGCCTTTCCCTCTCCCAGGGGATGTGGCTTCTGGCCCCGGGTCCCTCTTCAAGACCCACATGTGCCCAGAGTGCAGGCGCTGCTTCAAGAAGCGGACGCACCTGGTGGAGCACCTGCATCTCCACTTCCCAGACCCCAGCCTCCAGTGCCCCAGCTGCCAGAAGTTCTTCACCAGTAAGAGCAAGCTCAAGACCCATCTGCTGCGGGAGCTGGGCCAGAAGGCCCACCGCTGCCCTCTGTGCCATTACAGCGCGGTGGAGAGGAATGCGCTCAACCGCCACATGGCTAGCATGCACGAGGACATTTCCAACCTGTACTCGGACACCTACGCCTGCCCCGTGTGCCGCGAGGAGTTCCGCCTCAGCCAGGCCCTGAAGGAGCACCTCAAGAGCCACACGGCGGCGGCCGCCGCGGGGCCCTTGCCCCTTCGCTGCTTTCAGGAGGGCTGCAGCTACGCGGCCCCCGACCGCAAGGCCTTTGTCAGGCACCTGAAGGAGAGCCACGGCGCGCGGGCCGTGGAGTGCCGCCATCACGCCTGCCCCCTGCTCTTCGCCACGGCCGAGGCCATGGAGGCGCACCACAAGAGCCACTACGCCTTCCACTGCCCGCACTGTGACTTTGCCTGCTCCAATAAGCACCTGTTCCGCAAACACAAGAAGCAGGGCCACCCGGGCAGCGAAGAGCTGCGCTGCACCTTCTGCCCCTTCGCCACCTTCAACCCGGTGGCCTACCAGGACCACGTGGGCAAGATGCACGCCCACGAGAAGATCCATCAGTGCCCCGAGTGCAGCTTCGCCACTGCCCACAAGAGGGTGCTCATCCGCCACATGCTGCTGCACACGGGTGAGCCGCCCGCCCCTCGGCAGTTACCCCTACAGTCGCCCCTACCATAACCCCTACAGTAACCCGCCCGCGATGGCGAAGACACACGAAGGGCTCCGCGTCCGTTGTTTTCTTTGACCCCGTGTTCCTAGAGCTAAATCTACCATTTGTAGTTTACAAAGGAGCCGTAAGTGGAGGGTCCCTTGGCTAGTAAGACGGTTAAGCTGGGATCGGAATCCAGGCAGTCTCCTCCCATGCTCTAACCGTGGTGCCGCTGTGTCTCACCCTCCGGCAGGCGTGGACGGGGTCAGTACCCAGCCTATTAAAGCGGAGAAACCCAGAGCAGGAGAGATACCTTCCTTTGTGATTTAGGTTTGCAGAACGTGCTATGAGAGATGGGGTGGGTGGGGAGACTGAGCCATCCACACCCGCGAGAGCCTTGGCAGCCGACGCGGACCCTTAATTGGTTGCCAGCATTATACCGATGCTTTGACTGACAACCAAATTGGGCTTCCTGCTACAGCATCATCCCATTTGTGATCTCTAGGCAAGCATCAGTGGGTTGACAAGACATTTTTTAAAAATCTCATCAACGGGGCGCCTGGGTGGCTCAGTCATTACGCGTCTGCCTTCGGCTCAGGTCATGATCCCAGGATCCTGGGATCGAGCCCCGCATCGGGCTCCCTGCTCGGCTGGGAGTCTGCTTCTCCCTGTCCCACTCCCCCTGCTTGTGTTCCCTCTCTCGCTGTCTCTCTCTGTCAAATAAAATCTTAAAAAAAAAAAAAAAAAATCTCATCAAAGACTCTAGTTTGGGAGGACAGCTTTTAGGCAGCTTGGGACAAAGCCATTGCTCCCAGTGAACAGTTCATTTCTGTGCATGCTTTAGTCACCAGACCTCATTTTTCGGAGGCCCTTCATAAAATCTCCCATCTCTAAGAGTTTGCCGACTTCTTTTATATTATCTCATTTAATGCGTAATAACAGTCTTGCAAGGAAGGCAGGTAAAGGAGAGAAACTGAACATGTAAATGGCCCATTTCGGGATCACACAGCTAGTGTTAGAACCGGAGCCAGAATACCATTTCCCTTGCCTTTCACCACAGGGAAACAGGCTGAGTGGGTCAGGGATCACAGGGAAGGGTCCTGAAGGAACGTGCCCCCTTAGTGCGAGCTCTTGCCCAACTCCACGGACAGCTTTCTTGTGTTCTTGCTGGGCACCGCGGAGGACTTTGGGACGTCTCGCTTAATCGTCTCACCAACCATCAGCAGTCAGTATTTCTGTTGCCCCCTCTTTGGAGGCAAGGAAACAGACTGGGAGGGGTTACATGACCTGTCCAAGGCCACATAGTAGTAGTAAGCTGGGATCTGAACCACCACTTCCTAGCTCTGTGGTTTCCCTGTGCCTCAGCTTCTTTCTCTGTAAAATGGGGCAGTCCTAGCACCTGCCTCATAGGGCTGTTGGGAAGAGCCAGCAAGAGGAGGCATTTTTTTTTAAAGATTTTATTTATTTATTTGTCAGAAAGCACAAGCAGAGGGAGTGGCAGGCAGAGGGAGAGGGAGAAGCAGACTCCCCGCTGAGCAAGGAGCCCGATGCAGGATGCAGGACTTGATCCCAGGACCCTGGAATCATGACCTGAGCCAGAGGCAGACGCTTAACCAACCGACTGAGCCACCCACGTGCCCCAAGAGGGGGCATTTTTATAAAGTGCTCAAAAGGGAGCACTTTGTAATGCACATTCTGTACCTGTTAGCTATTAATATCTTTATTAATGGGTTGGACTCCAGAGTCCAAATTCTTAACCACTATGTTGTATGGCCTAATTTTTTCTCCTCTTCTGCAAAACTGAAGGGAATTGGGCTAAGTGGAGCACTCGGCTGTTAGTGCCAACAAGCTCCCCAGCAAATCCCGGTAGACTTGCCAGCTGGTTGTGGAAAGCATGGTCTTCACTTGCCCCCCGGCTTCCTCCATGTCGGAGGGGAGGAGAGGGCCGGGAAGAGCTTTCGCTCGTGCTGGGCATCAGGGCAAGCTTGCAGGCGTGGGGGCAGTGGGGTGGGGGGGTGGTCTGTGTGCTCACTCCACCTGCGTCTGACCCGTGTTTCTGCCCCTCCCATCCCTACCCCCACTCGCACCCAAGGTGAGAAACCTCACAAGTGTGAGCTCTGCGACTTCACGTGCCGAGACGTGAGCTACCTGTCCAAGCACATGCTGACCCACTCCAATGCCAAGGATTACATGTGCACCGAGTGTGGCTACGTCACCAAGTGGAAGCACTACCTCAGTGTGCACATGCGGAAACACGCAGGGGACCTCAGGTAGGAGCGCGCGAGCCTCCCTCCCTAGCCCAGGAAGCTGACGCTAAGCCAGCGTCCTCTTGAGCTCAGCGTGCTCTCCTGGCCGCAGAGCGACTCCTCCCAGTGCCCCTCTCTGCCCCTCTCCTGTCCGCTCCATTGCCTGCAGCTGACCTCTGTGCCTGCGGCCCAGTCTGCCTGGGGAGAGCTCCCTGGGCTCAGGGAAGGGAGCACAGCCCCAGAGTCCAGGCCTAGACGTGAAGGTGGCCCTTGAGCTCTCACAGAGTCCGGGCCTGGGAAAGTCGGGAGACGGCACCTGCAAACCCAATCCTAGCCACGTTCCGCATGCAGGCAGGCTCCCCTCTGCGCTGGGGCACGGCTGGCCAGGGGGTTTTTCCGGAGCTTTCACGCCTCCGTGGGAGAATGGGCTCTAGGCACAGACACCTGCCCGGTGGGGCCACAGCCCGGCAGCTCCTTCCAAGTCCAGGGCGGGTGGCGTATTCATGCTGTCTTCCCTGTGGGGAGCAATGTAGAGTAGGGGTCGGAACATAAGCCCTGAAGCTGGGCTGTCAGCCCTCCGCTTCTTCTGTAACCTGAGGCAGGTCATTGACCTCTGTGCGTGAGTCTCCTCACTTGGAAGTAGGTGCCGATGTCGTAGGGTAGCGGCAAAGAATAAGTTAGATGACACGAGTAGACGCTGAGCAGAGAGCCTCGTCCGCAGGAAGTACTTACGGATTGGTTACGGGAGATTGATCACGGCGCCTTTGCCGCACCCCCCCTTCCTCCTCACCAGGTACCAATGCAACCAGTGCTCCTATCGTTGCCACCGGGCCGATCAGCTGAGCAGCCACAAGCTGCGCCACCAGGGCAAGTCCCTGATGTGCGAGGTGTGTGCGTTCGCCTGCAAGCGGAAGTACGAGCTGCAGAAGCACATGGCCTCCCAGCACCACCCGGGCGCGCCGGCGCCGCTCTACCCCTGCCGCTACTGCAGCTACCAGAGCCGCCACAAGCAGGCGCTGCTGAGCCACGAGAACTGCAAGCACACGCGCCTGCGGGAGTTCCGCTGCGCCCTCTGTGACTACCGCACCTTCAGCAACACCACCCTCTTCTTCCACAAGCGCAAGGCCCACGGCTACGTGCCCGGCGACCAGGTGTGGCAGCTCCGCTACGGCGGCCAGGAGCCAGAGGGGCCCGGGCCATGCCCGACCCCCCCACCCGACTCCGAGCCCCCGGGCCAGCCGCCCGCCCAGCCTGCAGGGCCAGACCGTGACCCTGGGCCCGTGGTGGAGCCCCCCCTGGACCCGGCGCCGCCGGAGACCAGTGAGGAGGAGAGCGCCGGCAGACCGGATGGCAGTGAGGTTCCGCCGGGGGCCGAGCTGGTTGGCAGCCCCAGTCCGGCGGAGGTCGATGAGGCGGGCTGCACGCTACACCTGGAGGCCCTGGGGGTAGAGCTGGAACCTGTGGCCGAGCCACCCCTTGAGGGGATGGCTGAAACCGCCCCTGTGGCGTTCAGGCCCCTGGATGCCTCAGGGCCCCTGAGACTGGAAGGGCCAGAGGAAACTTTGACACAGCTGTCTACCTTTGAAGGTGCCGGAACTTCTGGCTTGGGTGCCGAAGAAAAGCCCGTTCTGGAAAAGCCAGTTCCTGAGGCCCCCCAAAATGCCCCTTCCTCAGAGGAGCCCCCTGGCAGCTGGGCGGGAACCTTCAAGGCCGCTCTGGCTGCCGAGAGCGCCCCCCTCCCCCAGTTCCCGGAGTCAGAGTCCTTACTCAGGGCCCTCCGGAGGCAGGACAAAGAGCAAGCGGAGGCTCTGGTCCTGGAGGGGCGGGTTCAGATGGTGGTGATCCAGGGAGAGGGGCGGGCTTTCCGCTGCCCGCACTGCCCGTTCATTACCCGCCGGGAGAAGGCCCTGAGTGTGCACTCCAGGACGGGGTGCCAGGGCCGCCGAGAGCCCCTGCTGTGCCCCGAGTGCGGGGCCAGCTTCAAGCAACAGCGCGGCCTTAGCACCCACCTGCTGAAGAAGTGCCCCGTTCTGCTCAGAAAGAACAAGGCTTTGCCCACACCGGGTTCACCCCTCCGTCTGCATCCCCTGCCCCCGGGCACCCAGGGCTCCGAGGATGCAGAAGGTGGGAAGTGCCCGCCTGCACCGTTAGAAGTAGAGCTGGTGCTCCCCAAAGATGCTGCTGCCGCGCTTCCTAAGGAGCCCGAAGAAGTAGAGGAGCCTCCTGGCATGCTCTGCGTCTCCGCAGCCCCTCCCGCGGGGAGCACCTCACCCGCAGAGACCCCCGAGAAGTTCCACTTCGAGCAGGGCAAGTTTCACTGCAACTCGTGCTCGTTCCTGTGCTCTCGGCTCTCCTCCATCACCTCTCACGTGGCCGAAGGCTGCCGGGGGGGACGCGGCGGGGCAGCAAAGCGAGGGGCCTCCCTTCTGAGCAGCGGGGACTCGGCCTGCGCGACCGGGGGGAGCGCGGAGTGCAGCCCAGGCAGTGGGGACCCAGCTCTGGCTCCCAAGCAGAAGGGGGCCCGCTTCTCCTGCCCCACGTGTCCCTTCAGCTGCCAGCAGGAGCGGGCCCTGAGGACTCACCAGAGCCGGGGCTGCCCCCTGCAAGAGCCTGGAGAGCTGCAGTGTGGCCTCTGCGCTTTCAGCAGCCCCGCCGCCGCCGCCCTGAGGCTCCACCAGCAGCGGAGGCACCCCGCCGCCGCGCCGGCCCGCGGGCCCCGGCCCCCGCTTCAGTGCGCGGACTGCGGCTTCACCTGCAAACAGAGCCGCTGCCTGCAGCAGCACCGGCGCCTCAAGCACGAGGGCGTGAAGCCCCATCAGTGCCCCTTCTGCGACTTCTCCACCACGCGACGGTACCGGCTGGAGGCCCATCAGTCCCGGCACACGGGTGTGGGCCGCATCCCCTGCAGCGCCTGCCCGCAGACGTTCGGGACCAACTCGAAACTGCGCCTGCACCGGCTGAGGGTCCACGACAAGACGCCCACCCACTTCTGCCCGCTCTGCGACTACAGCGGCTACCTGCGCCACGACATCACCCGCCACGTCAACAGCTGCCACCGGGGCGCCCCCGCCTTCGCCTGCCCCCAGTGCGAGGCCCAGTTCAGCTCGGAGACGGCGCTCAAGCAGCACGCCCTGCGCCGCCACCCCGAGCCGCCGCCCGCCGCGCCGGGCCCCGCCGCCGAGGCCGCCGCCGCCGGCCCCCTGCGCTGCGCCCGCTGCGGGCTGCTGTGCCCCAGCCCGGCCAGCCTGCGGGGACACACGCGGAAGCAGCACCCGCGCCTGGAGTGCGGGGCCTGCCGGGAGGCCTTCCCCAGCCGGCCGGCCCTGGACGAGCACCGGCGGCGGCGGCACTTCAGCCACCGCTGCCAGCTGTGCGACTTCGCGGCGCGGGAGCGCGCCGGCCTGGTCAAGCACTACGTGGAGCGGCACGAGGGCGAGGCGGCCGGCCAGCCCCCCCTGCGCTGCCCCTTTTGTGACTTCGCGTGCCGCCACCAGCTGGTGCTGGACCACCACGTGAAAGGGCACGGCGGCACCCGGCTCTACAAGTGCGCCGACTGCGCCTACAGCACCAAGAACCGGCAGAAGATCACCTGGCACAGCCGCGTCCACACGGGGGAGAAGCCCTACCGCTGTCACCTCTGTCCCTACGCCTGTGCCGACCCCTCCCGCCTCAAGGTAAGGCCGCGGGCCGCCAGGGAACTCCTCACGTTCTCGGATCCCGGCTCCCGGTTATTCATTAGTTCTGGGACCTCCGCCAAGCCCCTGTGAAAGCGGGCCCCGGGGCGCCGGGGGTGATGCTTCACGGGGTGGTTGCGAAGGTGAAATTCCAGCGTGCGTGCTTGGCCCGCGACCAAGGCATGTAATAGTTGGGTGGTCATCTAGACGATAACGGCTAGCATTTATCGAGCACTTACTGCATGCTGGACGCAGTAATTTTAATCCTCGCAAAACAGGAGATCTAGTTACCTTTGCTCTTTCTCGTTTTATAGATTAATAGACTGAGAGTTAGGGGTTAAGCACCCAAAGGCAGGCCCAGTGGGTTAGGGTGGCGTCAGAGTGGCCAGACCGGGGAGCCCGCTTGGGAGTACGGCGAGGGTGGGAGCGCCTCCGTTGAGGACCAAGGGTGCGCATTTTCCGGGCATACTCTGCTCTTCCCTCCTCCAGTACCACATGCGGATCCACAAGGAAGAACGGAAGTATCTGTGCCCCGACTGTGGCTACAAGTGCAAGTGGGTCAACCAGCTCAAGTACCACATGACCAAGCACACAGGTGAGTCTGCGTGGTTTCGACAGGCCTAAGGGGGTCCCCCCAGCCCCCACTCCCTGGCACACCCAACCTCCCTGAGGTGGCGGATGTCCTTACTCAGATTCAGGGCACACATTGGGGGTAGAGGGGAGGCTGACTGGCCAGAATAGCTTCCCAACCCACTGAAGACCTATGAGCATCAGGAGAGAGGTGAGCCTGAGGGCCTGGACATGAGTACTTTGTAAAAGCTTCCCTGCTGACCGTGGCACTAGGCCACCCACCCCCCATTGAGAACCCCCAGCATAAACCTGTGACTGACGGAGTTCTGCTTAGTTCCGGCAGACACGATGGAACTATTAGGAGTAACGAGGAGAACATGGAAGGTTCACCTGTTTTAACTTCTTTTTTTCTCTTGGGTATGGAGTCCATGAATTTTAGGTGCTCAGGAAACGGCTAATGACGGCGTGCCTGTATTACGCATAGGATGCCCTCATGTCAAGGAAATAACCAGATATATTTCAGGGCACTCTGCATCTGTGAGGGCCACTCTCTTGCCTCTACCCCTTTCTTCTTACGCATTTTCATTTACTTCTTGAGTTGAACAAGGAGTTCTATTTAAATGGATTCCCAAGTTCCATGAGTACCCCATGATCAAAAGGGGGTTGGAGTTTCCCATTTGGGGATATCTGAGTGAGTATTCATTGCTCTCAGGTGGCTACTCGGGGGTCCAGTTAGTTAGCAGCATTCATTGGGCACTCATTGTACACAAGGGGCTGTGTCAGGAGGAGGGCATGGAAACGTCAGACGGGGCTGGAGTGTTCCAGAGGTGCGGTCCTGAGTCAGCTTGCTGCTTGGGTCACGTCCCAGGATCTCAGTGATTCCTGGGCCCGCGAGACGTTGCTCCGCCCCCTTCGGTAGTAATTTTGTTCGTTGGCCCTGCCCGCCCTGTAGGGCTGAAGCCATACCAGTGTCCCGAGTGTGAGTACTGCACCAACCGGGCCGATGCGCTGCGCGTGCACCAGGAGACACGGCACCGGGAGGCGCGGGCCTTCATGTGTGAGCAGTGCGGCAAGGCTTTCAAGACACGCTTCCTGCTGCGCACCCACCTCCGCAAGCACAGCGAGGCCAAACCCTACGTGTGCAACGTGTGCCGCCGTGCCTTCCGCTGGGCCGCCGGCCTGCGCCACCACGCCCTCACGCACACCGACCGCCACCCCTTCTTCTGCCGCCTCTGCAGCTACAAGGCCAAGCAGAAGTTCCAGGTGGTGAAGCACGTGCGCCGGCACCACCCCGACCAGGCCGACCCAAACCAAGGCGTGGGCAAAGACCCCGCCACCCCCACGGTGCACCTGCACGATGTGCAGCTGGAGGAGCCCAGCCCCCCTGCTCCTGCCGCTCCCCCACCCGCGCCCGAGGGCTGAGAGCCCACGCGGCCTCCTGGGGGGCGTGGGCCGAGCCGTGCCGGCTGGAAGCAGAGCTCGCCTGCGGCTCGGGGCCTGAGGAAGGGCTGGCTTCGAGGAGCCCGGGCGGCCAGAGGCCTCCGGGGACTCAGGCTGTAGCACTGTGACGCTGATGGCCACATACCCGAGTGACATGGACCACAAATTGATTTCCGGTTGGGGCACACTGTGTTTCTAACCCGTGAGTGCCCGACTCCTTCATCGCCCCCCCAGAGTCCCTGGCTCTGCGACCTTGGTTTGACGCATTCTCTCTTCCCCTGCCTCCTTGCTCTGCCAAGTCCGCACAGTGTATCTAACTGCATGTGCTGTCGCGCCGGCTGCTCTCTAAAGCATGTTAAACAGAACGGTTCCTATCTTACCGACGCGTCCACGTCCCTGACTCAACACGGCCAGGCTGTCCTGTCCATCTGCCCCGTTCCCTCTCAGACCTCTGCGTCTCCTCTGTCTCCTTCCATCTTCGCCGAGGGATTCCGAAACGTTCCCGGGTCTGCCTTCTCTCTCTGTCCTTGAGCCTGTCTTGGCCCTTGCCCTGCTACTTATTTCTGAGCCCCTTGGTCTGCCTGTAGACCCAGGAAGCCTCCCGCCCCGGAAGCAGCTTTAATTCAGCCTCTCTCCTCAGCCTGGCTTGGCAGCTGCACGGGAGTTAAAGCACGAGACAGTGTGAAAGGCACGGGACTTGGGGGAGGCGGGGGGCCCAGGGAGAACCTCTAATCCAGAATTCTGTGAGTACCTCACGGTGACCATATGCTTAATCATTGAAACTGGGACACGCTGGGAAAATGAAGAAGAGTACTTCTAGTCATTATATCGGGACAGTAGACATAAACTGGGACTATTCCGGGCAAACTCTCGGGAGGGCTTGGATCACATAACCCTTTTTCTCCTCCTTTTGCCCTTAGGAGCCATATTTCTGTACCCTTCTATGTAGCACATGCGGGGGTGGGGGGGCCTGGAAACTTATTCTTCCACCCTTTCCCTGCCCCACCTGTCTTCCCCAAATGTCCCCCAACCTTCATATGTCCTCTTCTTGCCCAGCAACAGACCATACTCAAGCCAAACTGGGTAGAAAAGCTCTATTTATACAGGTGGGGCCAGGAGAGAGCAGTCCAGTGGGGACTCAGGGCTGTGCAGTGTTCTCTTGAATGTCAAAGTATAGTCTTAGGGTCTGGTGTCCTTCCCCAGCCTTTGCCTGGGGAACCTTGAGGCTTGATTTATCTTTCCCTTGGCTCTGGGCTTAGAGGAAGTTAGGGTGGAGGGGATAATGCCTCTTTCTGTCCTTCTGCTCCAAGCCCCTCTCTGGGTTGCAGCCAGCCTTTGAGCCAGGGTTGATGAGAGAGAGTAGTCCTAGATCTGGGTAGGGGATTGAGCCTATGGCAAGAGAAAGGAAGGAAGTCCAGTATAGAATATGTGAAGGAAGGGGGTAGAAATGATACCACAGACTTGTAAAAATGAAGAAAGGGAAGAGAGAGAGAGAATGAAAAATCAGGTCCTAGATTGGCTTGTTAGGAAGGGTGAAGTAATTTTGTGCTTAGGAATGCACAATCCAAAACGTGGTTTTGACCACCTCGGTTTGCTTTCTGGAGCATCCTTCCAGGTTTTTCTTACCATCTCAAGCCAGTGCACCCACCCTTCCCAAGAAGTGCCCACCTTAGGATTCATCCCCCTCCAGCCCTTCCCGGATGCTGATATGCACGAAGATGGAAGCTGGATGGAGGCTGATGCCATCCTTGGAGAGCAGGTGTATGTGGCGGTAGCCTGGAGAGGGGCAGGAGGGCGGCATTAGAAGGACAGCCAGAGCCCGGCTGGTGGTGGCCAGGGGTTGAAGGACTGGCCCACCTTGCTGCATGCAGGTCCAAGGCACTGTGTACTGCCCGACAAAGTCATGTCGGGATTTCCAGTTGTAATCCTTGACCACGAAACGCAGCAGGGCCAGTTCGGGCACCAGGACCCGGAAGCTTAGCGTCTGCCCCCAGTATGGATTAAAACCTGAGGTGGGGGTGAAGGAGAGAGGGAGTGAAGGAATAGACCTTGTTGGCTGTTTGCTTTAGGCGCGTCCTTGTGTTCCACAATTTTCACAGCGATCAGCATCTTACAGGTGAGGGGATTGCGGTGCAGAGTGGGTAAGCAGGTTGCCCAGGTCACCAGAGCACAGAAGTAAGGGGCCGGGATTCAGATCCAAGATGTCCAAGCCCTTATTCTTTGTCCCGTTCCACACTGCCTCCCATGGAGGTGGGAGAGGGGGTGGAGACAGGGACTGTGCTTCCTGGAGGGCAGCTGGGTAGGGAAGCAGCCACGCTCCTCCCCCCGCCCCTCCACCCTCCCAGCACCGCCCAGCCTCACCGTTGTTCTCCACGTAGCTGGTCTCTTGCCGGGTTGTGTCAGGGCGGATGCCAAAGATCTCCACTCTCACCAGTGGATCCACAATGGACCTCTCTTTACTCATGTCCTCTTTGGGGAGTTGCTGCCCACTGATCACCTGCAAGCAGGACTCTGGGACCTCACTAGTTCCTGTTCATCCCAGCCCCGCTGGGGGGGGTGCGGGGGATGGCGGGGGGGGGGTGCGGCTGGTGTCTCAGGACCTGGCGCTATAGCTTCTGGCTTTGAGTAATATATTCTCTTCTAGTAACCTAGCTGCAATTTAAGATGCATCCAAGTAGAAATTGCACGAGGTTTGAAAGTAGGTGTGTTCAGCAAACCCTTTACAGCCCCGACCCTGCCCCAGGCATTGTTGTGGGCACTTGTTAGACTCATGATCACAGCAACCCTGTGGGCTGGGGAGTGGCATTCCTCCCATTTTGCTGGTGAGGAGCCCGAGGTTCCGGAACTTGCCCAGAGTTATACGACTAGTGAATGGGTTCGAACCTAGGCAGCTGGCTCCCAAATCCCCGCGGTTCACAGTCAGGCTATCCTGCCTCTCTTGAGGAATTCTGCACCCACTACATTCCTGCCAGGCCCCGCCACCTCTGCCCTGGCCCCCCGGTTTCCATCCTGGCTACCCTAGGTTCTTCCTGCAGTTTCTCTCTCCGTGGTACCTGGATTAGGAGGGTCTGGGCTTTGAAAGGGCTGATGGGCCGCTCGGGGTGGAAGGAGCTCTGGACATCACGCAGGAAGTCAGGCTTCAGCACGTAGCCACAGGCACCGTTCTGGCGGAAGAGGCCATCATAGATGTCCATCTCAAGCCCCGCGGTCTGCACGTTCATGGCCACTGCGGGCCCCAGGAGAAAGGAAGGGAAGCATACATCTCAGGAGCCCTCTAGCCCCTCTTTCAGGGAACGAAGGAGATGAACTGGGTATAAAAGGGCCTGCTGGGAACACCCCCCACCCAGATTGCATCTTTCTTCACCTAGCACCCTTCAAAGCATTCCCTGGCCCTCCTGCCACCGGGGCAGGTAACCCCCCCCATGTTGCCCTTCCACTCCCTCTTCCCTGTCCCTGCCACCCCCTCACCCATCTGGCAGCCTGCGTTCCAGAGCTCCTGGGGGTTGTAGTTGGACGAATCTGTCCTCAGGCCACTGGGATACACGCGGCTGAGCTGCCAGGCATTGTGCTGCACAAACTCATTGCCTGTATAAAGGGCATGGTGGGGAGATGACAAGGAGGCGGACCCCCCCCCACTTCCCTGGCCTCAGCCACCACCTACCCACTTGACTCTTGTCCCCAGCATCTCCTGAGGCCAGGCCCAGAAAGCTTCACTGTGCCTGTCTGTTCCATGCTGACCGTCTCCCCCAGCTCTCCTCCCCCTAGAGCTTTGAGCGCACCGCTCAGAGCTCCTGACCCTGTACCTGCTCTGAGGAGCCGCTTAGCTCCCTCAGCCCCCCTCAGCCCCTTGGTCCTCTTTCTCGGGACTCATGTGCCTGCCCAGCAGCCTGACCCTACCCATCCCACTGCCCTCCCTGGCCCTCCCTTTCGGTCCTGACCAGCCTCCTTGATGAGGCTTCTGGCCTTGGTTTCAGAGAAAGATGAGGTCTCATAGAAGCGGTAGTGTTCCCTTGAATGAGTGAAGCTGTGGAATGAGACAGACTTCAAGTAGACAACCAGGGCAGAGAGGGATGGACACAAGATGGGTTTGGATCTCTGGAAAAGGAGAAAATAGAGAGGAAGACGGAATTGAACCCTCAGGGGTCTGAGAGGGAAAGAACCGATGGCCAGGATCTGAATTTCCCCGTCCAACCTAAGCCTCCCCTTTGCGTTCTCCCTCCTGCCTCACCTGCTTGGGAAAGAGAAGGGGCCCAGGCTTGGAAATAGGAGCCTGAACCACAACCTCACAACAGACAGGTGGACAAAACAGCGGACACATCACAACCTGGGGATGGGAATGGGAATAAAGGCAGTCTACATACCCTCATGGGATCGGTTTCAGCCTCTGGGCTTAAAGGGTCTGTCCTACTGTTAATTTCTGGGTAACAGGTTCTTAATGATTACTTTTAAGTAGAGAGGTGTCCTCCTCCCTACCTCTCGTCTTTTAAAACAATTTAATAATATGGTTTGGTCAAAATGTACATGAACCCAGACAGGTATGTCGAGGTACGCAAATGGCCAGGAAAGTAGCACCAGAAGGATGTGAGGGTCCCAGAGTAATATCGTTATATTCTTCTGAATTCCCATTTCCTTCCCCGGACATGGTAGCAGGTTAGACACCACAGCCCCGGAGAGGGGAGGACAAGCTAGAAGTTAGTCAGCTAAGTCAGGGAAGCGCACAAGAAGGAGAAAGGCAGACTTCTGACCAGGACCTTGGCAGCCCCACCAATGGCACCCCTTCCCCCCAGGGAGGTGGACCCGACCACTTTGGCACAGTCTTCTTAGAGCCTTCACCTTCCCCAACTCTCTGCTCCTCCTTTTTGGCTACTGCTGGCCCCTTCTCAGACTCACCTTTTCCAAGAAGCTTTCTCTAAGCCCATTTCAAATGAGGTCACAGCAGTCACTTCAGTAAGCCATACGTCCCCAATACAACAGTGCAGGGTGTACTCTCCCTCTCCCTCTGTCGCGTGCGCGCGTGCACACACACACACATACACACACACACACAGCAGTGTTTTTCAAACTGGCCTGAATTTAAAGAGACTGAGAAGAAGTACAAAGATGTCTTGGGAGCCAACAGGGGACCCGAGAGAGTCAAATGGGTGCTTCAACCAGGATGGCTCTGCACTGATCCTTTTGTATACAGGGCTCCCGAATACGATTTCATTCAAAAATGATTCCATGGCCCAAAGAAGTTGGAAAGCCACTGTAATCTATCTACATATGACAATATGTCGTGATGTCATGCACGCATCCTTACACCTCTTTTACTGGGGGCAAGGGGTATTTTGCTCCTCGGCCCTCCACCCTGCCTGGCTCTAGCCTCTCCACACATGAAGTCAGCTTATCGTACAGACTGACCAAATGCTAGAGCAGAAAGACCACTCTGCTGGCCCACCTTCTCCTTCTTTTTGTCCTTACTGCGTGGGCTCAACGCCTGGGGCTCAGACTCCAGCTGGGCCTCCAGCTCCGGGTCAGCTTCCTGCTCTCTCTCCAGTTCAGACTCTAGCTCTTCCTCCTCTTCCTCTTCCTCAAGATCCTCCTCAAGTGTCCTTAACTTCTTCCCCTTCACCAAGATCTTCCCCCGAAGCTCCTGGAGACAGAAATGAAGGGGCTTGTTTACCTGTCTGCTCTGGGGGCCATGCAGCTGAGTGGTCAGAAGTCCCCACAGGGAGGCTGCTTGATACATACAGTAGGGATTCCCTATTGTTAAGCGAACTTGTCACATCTCTATCCAATTGGAAAACAATACAAAACAAAAAATACCTCACTTTTGACACAGAGAGATTTCTCCCAGATTAAAGATTTACATGTAAATATAAAGGACATAAGAGTATTAGAAGAAAATAAAGAATCTTTTTGGGGCGCCTGGGTGGCTCAGTCGTTAAGCGTCTGCCTTTGGCTCAGGTCATGATCTCAGGTTCCTGGGATCGAGCCCCGCATCTGGCTCCCTGCTCCCTGCTCCCTGCTCCGTGGGGAATTTGCTTCTCCCTCTCCCCCTCCCCCTGCTTGTGTTCCCTCTCTTGCTGTGTCATCTTTTCTGTCAAATAAATAAATAAAATCTTTAAAATAAAATAAAATAAATAAATAAAATCTTTAAAAAAAATAGAGAATCTTTTTGAATAATCTTAAAGTGGGAAAGCCTTTAGAAACAGGAGATGAGGGCGCCTGGGTGGCTCAGTTGGCTAAGCGACTGCCTTCGGCTCAGGTCATGATCCTGGAGTCCCGGGATCGAGTCCCACATCGGGCTCCCTGCTCGGCGGGGAGTCTGCTTCTCCCTCTGACCCTTCCCCCTCTCATGTGCTCTCTCTCATTCTCTCTCTCTCTCAAATAAATAAATAAAATCTTTAAAAAAAAAAAAAGAAACAGGAGATGAGGGGTGTGTGGGTGGCTCAGTCAGTTAAGCATCCTACTCTTGGTTTTGGCTCAGATCATGATCTCAGGGTCCTGAGATCAAGCCCTGTGTTGGGTTCTGCGTTCAGCAAGGAGTCTGCTTGAGATCCTCTCCCTCTCCCTCTGTCTGCCCCCACCCCCGCCGCTCTCTCTCAAAAAAAGAAAAGAAACAGGAGATGATAACTCAGAAGACTTAAAAAGCACTGGCCAATTTGACTACATAAAGCTTAAAATCCTCTATAGGGCAGAAGATGCTATAAGACAAAAGCAAAGACTGCAAAAACAAATTTCCCAATGCATCAATGTCTTTAACATTTAAATCTTGTTATATACCAATAAAGATTATAAACCCCAATAAAAGTGGGTAAATAATATCAATTAATTCAAAAGAAGAAAATATAGACCTTTCTTTTTTAAAAACTTGGCCTTTTCCCCCCCACATTTGCCACTATGAATCATCTTACTACTGGAGATATTTGTGGTCCGTCTCTTACATTGTTGGTCAGAGTGCAATTTGGTATTTTTTTCCAGAGGGCAACTTGGCAGTAATAACCAAAATATCAACATGCAAACTCTTCAACCCAGCAATTTACTTCTAGGAATCCATCTCAAAGAAAGAGTAAACGGGGCGCCAGGGTGGCTCACTTGGTTAAGCATCCGACTCTGGATTTTGGCTTAGGTCATGATCTCAGGGTCGTGGGATTGAGCCCCGTGTCAGGCTCTGTGCTCAGTGGGGAGTCTGCTTGAGATTCTCTCCCTCTGCCCCTCCCCACCCACCCCCGCACGCTTGCGCTCTCTATCCCTCTTTCTCTCAAATAAATAAATCTTTAAAAAAAAAAAAAGAAGAAAGAGTAGATGGACAAAGCTGTATGTACAAGTGAACAATTACCAACAACCTGAATGTTTACCATTTACTGGTTGAATAAATAATGGTTCATAAAAGAAAATAGACTACCACAGAGCTATTAAAAGGAAAAAAATTATACATGCAAAGACATCCATGATGTATATTGTATGTGAGATATAAAAGGGATATAGAAAATGACCCCAAGCATTTTTTAAAGTGCAAATATATACACACATATATGTTTACATAAGCATTTACAAAAATCTCTTGACACCTGTTATGGGAGAGGTTGAGATTATGGTGGGGGGATTTCCTTTTCTTTCTATTGTCTGTACGGTCTACAACAACTATGAACTATCCGGGAAAAAAAATCAAGATATTTCCATTGAAAAAAGAAATAAGAAGTAAACAATTGATTTCAAATTTAGAAAACGATAAACAATTCTGCATTGAATTGGACTTTTTGAAAATTAAAATTGTCTCCAAGGATATTAAAGAGCAAGATGGTCCATGTAAGGGTGAGAAGAAGGGAACAGGAGGGGCACGGAGGGGCACGGTAGGGAGGGAATGCAAGCCACAGCAGAGCCCGGGCTAGGGGAACAGGGCGCCTACCTCAGGTGAGGGCAGCTGAGTGGGCAGAAGCCCATCCAAGGTAGTGCTCAGCAGTTGCTCCCCCAAGATCTCGGTCAGATGGCATGCCATGACCTGCTGCTGTTCCCAGCTGCAGTGGGTCTCCAGGGACAAGATAACTGGATAGTCTGAGGTCTGATGGGGAAGGGAAGGAACGCTAGAGCCAGAGGTCTAAAGCATGCAAACTCCCTGCTTCTCCGGACCCCCCCGCCCCTGGTGACTCACTCAGAGTACCCTGATTCTGGACATCAAGGAGGTCTTGCTGGGTCTGGGGCCCACCTCACAGCTCAAAGTCACTGTTGGGATCCCAAATCTCAGACCTATACTAGGTGTGACCCAGGTCCTTCTGGGACCTTTGAGTTTTCAGGCTCAGCGTGGGACGGGTAGGCCATTCCCCTGATTATGTGTTCATGTTACACTCTCCTCTCCAGACTCCTATTTTCCCCCAGCCCTACCCACCACTTTCTCGGTTTCCTTAACCACCCTCCCCGAGATGGGTGACAGTTGTTAGAAGTAATAGTCACTGAGCTCTAGCAATTACCTCTAGGACTACTAATTACTAGTGACACATCCAACCCTTATTCATAATCCCTTAATATTTGCCTGATGCTTCACAGTTAAAATCTCTTGTACATCTCTGCCATTTGACATAACCTCCCCTGCATCCATCTACCTTCACCAGATGCAGAGCCAGCCACTCTTCCCTCAGATCATCTTCCCTCACCAGTACGCCCATCCTGGGACTCCTACCTGGAAGGCGTACTGGGCTACAGTGGCCACGACATCTTTGAATGGGATGCGGGAGGTCAGGGTGTGTCCATGGTAAACGATAGGTTCCCCGCTAGGTCCATCCCATATATCCACCTCCACGCAGCGGCACCCCCTCTTCAGGGCCCTGCAAGAACCCCAAGCCCCCAGGGACAGAGAGGTCAAGGTCTGATCATCCGTCTAGGGACTCTCTCCCCACTCTAGAGAGAACAGTGCTCACTGGCACTTAGTTGTCAAGACCCCCTCAAGCTACATCTCCGCAGACCCTTCTCTGTCCACCGAGATACTGCTACGGCTCACTACCTCCACCCCCCACCCTCCCCAACTCACCATCTTCCTTCAGCAAGTCATCACATACTGCCTCGTGGTGCTTCTAGGGTTCTGGTTGTAGAGCATTCTGCAACACCTGACTTAGTCAAACTCTCAGTAATTCGGTTTGTTTGTTTGTTTGTTTGTTTGTTTTTAAAGTAAGCTCTATGCCCAACATGGGGCTTGAACTCATGACCCCGAGATCAAGAGTTGCCCCAGCCAGGCGCCCCTCAAACTCTCAGTAAATTTATACTTTATTTTCTCGACTAGACTTCCTAGGGCAGAAGCAATATATTCCACTCATCTCTTATACCCTGAAACTACTAGTTCGGTGGCTGCCGCTACAAAGATATCTTGACTCCTCGATCCAATCCATGATTAATCACAATAAAAGCAGATATCACTTATTAGCTATTAACACATGGATTATCTCATTTAATCCTCACAACAGCTCAGACAGAATAAGCAATGTTATCATCCCTATTTCACAGATGGGGATACTGAGACACAGAGAAGTTAAATACTTAGAACCAGAGTACCAGTGAGAGAACTAGGATTTGACCTCATATGGCCTGACTCCAGAACCTATGATTCTAACTTCTATGCTCTCCTGCCTTCCATGTAACGTTTAGTTTATTTGTTCAAAATAAATCTTCCAGGACCTCTGAGTTCCAGGAGAGTTTCACAGCCTATGAAAGAGAGAGAAGCTCCATATACCCATAGAATTTCAATACTACTCTCCTGTCAGTCTTCAACATCTCTTCCAAGTCCCTCAGGTATCCAGGGGTCCTCAGCCCCAAGCCCCCCACAACATCTTTTCAATCCCTGTTATCCACTGATAGAACAGACGGCCCCTTCTCATGTGCTGGAGCCCTTTCCCCTTCTTTCCCACTGCACCGTATATAGCCCTCCACGCTGCTCTGGCCACAAAGCTGGTCCCCCACGAGGTAGGTGTTGTGAGAGGAATTGATGTAGTAGTGGTTCAGCGGTTGAGTCATATCCTGGTAGATGGGAAGGCAGGTCGGGTTGAAGATATCTCCATCCTTCGAGCAGAGATAGCTGAGGAAGCCATCCATGCTCAGCACGTGTCGCAGTTTGCCTAAGGTGTGGAAGAGGGGAAGGCTAGAGTGAGAAGCTCTGAGAGAGGGCATCCCAGCACACCTCTAGCCCATCCTGCACCTCGCCCCTCTCCAGGGTCCTGCCTTTCAGATGGTGTCCATTCTCAGCCTCCAGATCCCCAAAGTGCCCCACCCACTGCCTGTCATTTCAATCATCCCTACCCTCAGAGAGAGTTAAAGGTACGAGGAGAATCATTAAGATCATGCTAGTTCACTAGTATCCAAAAGAACTTTCTGCAATGGTGGAAATGTTCTGTTCTGTGCGGTCCAGTATGGCAGCCTCTAGACACATATGGCTACTGAGCACTTGAGATGTGGCTGTGTGACTGAAGAACTGAATTTAAATTTTTGATTTTAATTAATTAATTAATTGAAAGTTTTTATTTATTTATTCATTTAAGTAATCTCTACACCCAAAGTGAGATCAAGAGTCGCATGCTTTTCCAACTGAGCCAGCCAGGCACCCCAATTTTAGTTAATTTAAATTTATTTTATTATTTTTAAGATTTTATTTATTTTTTTTAAGATTTATTTATTTATTTGAGAAAGCAAGAATGAGAGAGAGTACATGAGAGGGGGGAGGGTCAGAGGGAGAAGCAGGCTCCTCGCTGAGCAGGGAGCCCGATGCGGGACTCGATCCCGGGACTCCAGGATCATGACCTGAGCCGAAGGCAGTTGCTTAACCAACTGAGCCACCCAGGCACCCTATTTATTTTTTTAGATAGAGCACGTATGCGTGTGCACGTGCGCAAGAGCAGGGGGGCCAGGAGCAGAGGGCGAGGGAGAGAGAGAATCCCAAGCAGACTCTGCTGAGCACAGAGCCCAACATGGGGCTCAGTCTCACAACCCTGAGATCATGACCTGAGCCAAAATCAAGAGTCAGAAGCTTAACTGACAGTCACACAAGGACCCTGTTAATTTAAATTTAAATAATCACACAGTGGGGCACTTGGGTGGCTCACTCAGTCAATTGAGCATCCACTCTTGGTTCCAGCTCAGGTCATGATCTTGAAGTTGTGGGACTGAGCCCCATATCGGGCTCGGTGCTCTGCACTCAGCCTGGAGTCCACTTGTCCCTCTCCCTCCCCCTCTGCTCTTCCCCCTGCTCATGTGAGCCCCCGCACTCAAGTTCTCTCTCTCTCTCAAATAAATATTGTAAAAAATACCCCAAACTTTAAAAAAATAGTCACAAAGAGCTCATGGTTACCATAAAGGACAGCATAGTATTCAGTGTAAAGGGTTAATCTTATATATAGGGAAACTGAGCCCAGAGAGGAACAAAGTCGAAGACTCTTTAGCAACACGACCAAGGTACCTGTGTTTTATTCCCTGGGCTGTGAAGCTGATGCCAACTATGACCTGAGGGTTTCTTCCTATCATCAATTCCCATATGGTGTTCTGCAGAGTGGTCGTCCAATATACCCCTGGACTACAATACACCCTCTGTTTGAGGGCAGGGCCCCCTCACTCCTGCCACAGCCCTCACCCATATCAGCATGGGCTTCATACAATATCTAGTACTAGTCCTGAGCGACTAGTGCTGAGCACTTGCTCTGTGCCCAGGACGTCCCGTGCAGCACCTCTCTTAATGTTCTCGCCAACGTGATGAGGTAGATAGAATATAATCTGCCCTGAGAAGTTGGGTAACATAACTAGTAAGTGAAGGAGCTGGGATTTGAACCCCGGCCGTCAGGTGTCTGAGCCACGCCAGTCCCACCGGGCCGTGCAGTCTCACTGAGGGCAACATTGCTGCAGGGGGCCTCCCGTGGGAGGTGGAGCAACTCGACTCTAATGCCCAGCTTCGTTGCTCCCGCTTTGACAAGGCTACAGATGATGGAGAGCGGCAGGAAGTCAGGCAGGAAGTTTTATTCTTAACAGTAAGAACTTAAATTGCGAGAGAAAATCCACAGTTGCCAGATACTTTTCATGTATGTCATTTCATTTGATCACCGATTATTTTACAAATGAGAAAATTGAGCCCCCACTAGATTAAGCAGCTTGCCCAGGGTGACTCAGTTAGTAAGCGGCAGAGGGGGGCCTTGAGCCCGGGTTTCCTGGCAGAGACTATCCTCTGCAGCCAGTCGAGAGCAGGGGAGGGAACACCACCCAGAGGGGCAGGTGGTAGAATAAATGTAACTGATGTCTACTGGATCCTGCACTGGAGATAGAAGGGGGCACCTGGGTGGCTCACTCAGTTAAGTGTCTGCCTTCGGCTCAGGTCATGATCCCAGGGTCCTGGGATCGAGCCCTGCATTGGGCTCCCTGCTCATCAGGGAGCCTGCTTCTCCCTCTCCCTCTGCCTGCCGCTCTGCCTACTTGTGATTCCTCTCTCTCTCTGGGTCAAGTAAATAAATAAAATCTTAAAAAAAAAAAAAAAAGATCCTATTTCTTAACCCTTAGGCATTCTTCTTCTATTTATTTTTCTGAAATGATTGCTTTACAGCCCCCTTTCTTCTCTGAGCACAGACATGAATCTGGAATCAGGGATTCCAACCCTTTCTGTTTGAGTCTCAGTTCCATGAGGGCAGCGTTCTTGTCGGACCTTCTGCTGTATCTCTGGGGCTGAGCAAAAGTCCTGGCCCATTACAGGGGTTCAATAAACATTAGCTGAAGTAGTGAGTGAATGAATGAATAAAAGGAGTAGGAGTTGAGACCTAGGAAATGTGGGTCACTTGTCCAGCTCTCATTCATCTCATCTCTCTCTCTCTTTTTTTTTAAGATTTTATTTATTTGAGAGAGAGAGAGTTTGCGAGCAAGTGCATAAACGCAAGAGCAGGGAGGAGGAGCAGAGGGAGAAGAGTGGAAGGAGAGGGAGATACAGACTCCCCGCTAAGCAAGGAGCCTGATCCAGCACTCAGATCCCAGGACCCTGGGATCATGACCTGAGCTGAAGGCAGACGCTTAACCGACTGAACCACGCAGGCACCTCTCATCCATCTCATCTCTAATCCTCATGCTCAACAGAGATATTAGGTAAGGGTCAGGTGACCCGGGTTTGAATCCCAATTCCTCCTCTCATTAGGCTTTGGCTTTGAGCAAGTCATTTGATCTTTCTAAACCCGAGTTTTCCTCTTTTGCACAACTGACTTAATAACAGAAGCCACTTCAACTGGTCATCGGAATGATGAGAAAAGACATGTAGAAATGTTAGCACATTAATGGGATACTTAGCAGAGGCTGAATAAGGATTATGCTCCTGATTTACAAGATCGTAGTGAGGGCTAGAGGAAGTAAGTGACGTGAAAGTACCTTGTAAATCATTTATTATTAATGTAAATTCCTCGTATTCTGAAGGGAATGGAGGGCAGGGCAATGTCTATTAAAGGGGCAAGGAGAAAGGGCTGAAGACAGAGGGCATATTTGAGCTGTGCTTGCTAAAAGAAAGCCTCCTCTTCATCCCCCTCAGCCAGGGACTGACTAGCTTCCTGGCCCAGAGGCTTAGCCACTCAAGAACCACTTGGAGAATTTGGAGAAAGCCCAGGAAGTGGCAGAGAGCCAGCATTTAAAGAGACAGCAAACAGGAACCATGAAGAGAGCTGGAAGCAAAGGAATTAGGCACTAGAAGAGAAGAAGCCTAAGGGAGAGGACCATGGATCTCCCTTTCCACTGGGGACAACCGTTGACATCAGGACGAACTTATTCTGAAAGTGAAGCATGAGCATAGTGGAGGAAAGGAGACTTGTGGACTGTTCTTCCTCCTGAGAGATACAGCATTACGGAGGAGACTCCTGTCTTATCTGGGCAGGAAACTGCTGCTCCCCTTCCCAGGGGTGGAATGAGATGAAGATCCTTCCACAGGGGCTGGGGTAGGCATGGGCTCAGCCTTCCCTGAGTTGGGCAGAAGGTGGCTTGTCTCTGGACCTTTCTAAGGTGCCCCTCCTCGCCCATGCCCAGTGCCTCTCCACCCTAGCCCTCTTACCGCTATCTGAGGGCTCATAGCGGTCGATGAGTTCCAGAGCAAGGTCAGAAGCTCGCTCTCCTTCTTTCTGCTCCTCTTGGAGGAAATCCACAAATTCCAGCAGGGTCAACTTCTGCCCATCGGCCGAAAAGTTTTCAAACAGCTCTTGCACCTCAGTACGTTTAGTCAGCGCCTTATAGAACTCTACAAACTCTTTTCCCTCCAGAGTCCCGGACTCGGATGTGTCTGCTGCCTGCAAGCAAGGGTTTAGAGGATGGTGGAAAAATCCTTTTAAGAGCACATTGTGGGGGCGCCTGGGTGGCTCAGTCAGTTAAGCGACTGCCTTCGGCTCAGGTCATGATCCTGAGAGTCCCTGGATCGAGTCCCGCATCGGGCTCCCTGCTCGGCAGGGAGCCTGCTTCTGCCTCTGACCCTCCCCCCTCTCATGTGCTCCCTCTCTCTCATTCTCTCTGTCTGAAATTAAATAAATAAATAAATAAATAAATAATCTAAAAAAAAAAAAAAAAAGAGCACATTGTGGGCGCCTGGGTGGCTCAGTCGTTAAGCGTCTGCCTTCGGCTCAGGTCATGATCCCAGGCTCCTCGGATCGAGTCCCACATCCGGCTCCCTGCTCAGCGGGAAGCCTGCTTCTCCCTCTCCCACTCCCCCTGCTTGTGTTCCTGCTCTCGCTATGTCTCTCTCTGTCAAATAAATAAATCAAATCTTTAAAAGAAAAAAAAAAGAGCACATTGTATGGCCTTGACCCGTCCTGTAAGGGCAATCTTGCCGACAGGTGGATACAAACATCTTTCTGCAAAATTCTCCCAGAACTCCTGACACTTTGTGTTCATAGAAGCCGCTTTGGTAAGTAAAAAGCAAAATGGCAGCCGTACCGTTTGCTACTGGAGAAAAATTTCAATCAGAAAGGGTTAAATGCCCCAACAAGTGCCTAAAAGTTTAAAAGATCCCTCCTCCTATTTTATTCACATTCCAGTTGGACTTTTCCATTGTTACTAGGCACGGGGGAAGTTCTGGCCATGAACAGAGAGGTCCTTGAGGTCTGACACAGTATCGAATGGTTGTTTGCCCTTCATAAGACTATGAATCGTCTTTCTAAGAAGACTGAAGGGTGAGAACCATGCCTTACACTTTCCATCGAGCCTGGCATAGTGGTAGGGCATATAGGAGAGATTCAACAAAGAGTGATGCTGGGTAGGGTCAGGTACATCTGGCCATGTGAGAACATGGACTTGGCTGGCTTCTGAAAATCCTTCCCCAAAACACTCACTTGGAAAAGCTGGAAGGCATATTCTTGGTCCATTTCCACATTCATCAGGTGCAGTAACCGCTGGACTTCGTGGAAACTCATCCGACCATCCTGGTTCCTGTCTCCACGCTGGAACCAGTCACTCAGCCATCCAGGTGTGAGTCAAGGCAAAAGCACTGTGTGTGTTTGTGTGTGCAGATGTGTATGCATGTTCATCCACTGAGATCGTCTCCCCTATCTCCTCCCTGCCAATGCATTTTCCATATTAGCTTCCAGAATAATCTCCCCCCGAGCACCAATCTGTCTTGTCCCTGCATGGCTCAGGTGCCTGCAGGGTCCTCCCTGTTGCTTGCAGAAAGAAGCCCAAATTTTTTAATGTAGATTGAAGGTCTTCACCCCCACGATCTGGCCCCCACGCAGCCTTCTCAACACACCTCTGTCCTCCCTGTACTTTAGCCAGACTCTCCCTCCTGCTCTTCAATGTCCTATCTCTGAGACTTTTCTCATGCTGTTCCCTCAGGCAGGAGAGCCTTCTGCCTCCTTTCTTTATGTTCAAGTTCTACTCCTTTTCAAGGCTCAGCTCAAATTCAACTTCCTCCCTGATGTTTTTCTCAGAACTCTCTCAGCTAGAATTAAATATTTCTCCTTCCTTTGAACACCCACAAATAATTGCAGTCCCATAACACTTCTAGGGTACTTAGATGATTTACACAATTCCATTTTCTCCACCGACTAAAACAATGCCTGAGTCTCATTAATCTTTGTACCTCTAAAGCCTGGCACAGTGCCTGATACCTTCTCTGCTCCATAGATGGTGAATGAATGAACAAACGAACAAATGAATGAATGACCTGGCATGGAAAGTGAATACAATCTAGGAAACCTGAATGAGTCAACACCACGAAGTTCTGCTTCCCAGTCCTACAGTAGCTAATGCCACTGGGATCTTCTGTTCAGCTCTCAAGATCAGCACCTTGTTTGGTCCTTTGCCTCGCACCATCCCTCCCACCAGTCCTGAAGGGCCTGATTTCTGCCTACTCTCTGCCTGGTTATGTCTTTGTCATCCCAAGTCTCCATTACACCTTCAATATCCTCTGCCTCACAGTGGCCTGAGCTGTCCTTGCCCACCCCATCTGGACTCTTAGGCCTCCCTAGCGCAGCATGCCAACCCCCCCACCCACAACCCTGTCTCTAGCCCTGCAGCATCTGGCTCCTTCAGTGACCCCTGGCCCCACCTCTGACTCCATCCTGCTGATACTGGTCCAGCCGCTCCTGTTGGTCCATGCCGGTAACAAAGTCCACCAAAACCTGGAGCCCCTGCATCCATATCTTGGCCTCCTCGACGCTGTTGGCCACCAGGTCCAGGTTGGAGCGGCGGCCGTGGAAGACGATGGTGAAGCCCTGCTCCAGGGGGAGCTCCTCTGCCAGGCTCCGCAGCAGCTCGGACTCGTGGCCCTCCCGCACCGTCTCCACATCAGAGATAGAGACTACCAGAGAGGAAACAGGGGGGTGCAGGGGGAAGAGAGTCCACCGAGTTGCAGGAGCGAAGGGTCAGGGACCCTTTAAGGAGCCATAGGGAGGAGGAACCCCAACCTCCCTCCGCAGGATGAAACCCCCAAAGATTGGGTAGGGGGAGATGCAGACCCCTGGGATTCAGGATTCCCCATGAGTCGCTGCCATGTTCAGAGGCAGCATGCCAAGGGGCCCAGGCTGGGAGCAGCAAGACCTGGCTTCGGGCCACTGGCTGGCAGTGGGACACAGACCAAAATGACTTAACCCCTCAGTACCCTCGTCTGAAATAGGGGATAGTCCCTTCTTTGGCCAGTCCACATGGTGACCACTGGCGGGGCTGACGGAATGGAAACACACTTAAAGGTAGAAGCGGTTACACCAAAGCATGATATGTCCAAGTTCAATTTCCCCGTTCCAGGTTTGAGGGCCTCCTCTTTCCAGGTGTCTAAGAAAGCACCAGAGAAATTCTTCCACCCCCTTCCCTCAGCTGGGGGTGCTGTGGATCGTGAGCTTTGATTATGTCTCTAAAGCGGACTCTCTCAGATGTGTCCTGTGATCACAGTTTTGGAGGGGTCATAAAGCGCAGGATGCACACTGTTGTGCTGCATTTGTGATATTTAAAAATATGCATCATAGTGGCTAATTTGTGAAATGCATCCTGGCTTCAGGTGCCACGCTAGGTGCTTTGTACATTAACTTACTGAGTCTCTGTAACAACCTGCTAGCAGGTACTATTCAATCCCCATTTTGCAGATGAGGAAACTGAAGCTTAATGTAACTTGTCCAAAGCCACTCAGCTAGAAAGTGGCAGAGCCAGGGCTTTGATCCGGGCAGTCTGATGCGTGAGATCATGCTCTCACTATAATAATAATAAATATAACCTAGGATTTATTGAGCCTTATTATGTGCCAGGGCACTCCTAAGCCTTTTACGTGCAGTATCTGATACACTGTAGGACCCTGTTCCCTCCCCTGCTCTCAAGCACCTGGGCTCTTCAGAGTCCGATCCCCCCACCACACCCACGCCTAGCCATCCACGTGACTCACAGGTGGGCTTGGCAGTGCCTCCCGCCTGCCGGGCATGCCAGACTGTCATGCCATCATCCTGAAGTCTGAAGTATCTCAGTTTCTTCCAGCTTTTGGACCTCACCTTGCGCATCAGCATGCCCTTCTGCATCAGCAGCAAGTCTTGATTGATGGGGAGCCCTGGGCCAGGAGAAGAAGGGGCTGGCTGGGTAGCCGGCGGGAAGGGTAGAGGGCCCAGGAGGAGCTCTTGAACAGGGGTCCAGACTCCTCCCCACCTCCCCATTCCTGGGCTGTCTCCCGAAAGCCTCCTCTCCTGCTGGGGTACTCACGGCCTTGCATCAGAGACACCATCACCCACCGGTCCGCCAGCTGGTGCCAGTCACCTGGAGGAGCACAGAGGAACAAAAGGCTCTGGGTTAACACTGGTGATCTTAGAATAACAGATCAGAGGAGGAAGAGAAGGAAACGCGTGCGTCCTGACGGCCCACGATGTTCCAGGCACTTCATCTACGTAGTCTTTAGCTCTTTTTTACTTTTCGTTTGAGTTTGATGAATTTGAGGCTTAGAGAGGCTAAGAAACTTGCACCAAATCACATAAGGATTCAGAATTTAGAGCCAAATATGTCTGATTCCACAGCATCTGCTGTTTCCCATAGCCGTCGCCAGAGAGGACTAGACCGGGGCTTTCAGCCCAACACCCCAGAGTCACACCCTTCAGCTCCTCATTATTAAGGACCACCATCTTGCTGGCTGCCCCCTTTCAGAACCTGGAATCTCTCTATATCCTAGCCTTCTCTTCTCCAGGGGGAATCACCCCAGCTGCTCTATCTTGGGAGCCCTCCCCATGGTCCCGGGCAGGCCCCCCAGCTCCCAAGGGGCCAAGGCAGAATGCTACTTTTGCCTCTTCGGGGACACTTAGTACCATACTTGCTACATAAACCACATTCTTCTGCCTTCCCGTGGTAAAGCACACTTTACTTGTCATAAAGGTTATTCCCAACAGCTTAACGGACCAGGTGAGTTACGTAGTCTTAGAAATGCATTTTCAAGTTTTCTTTGCCTCCTGAAAAAGAGAGCCCTCTTTAAGATGCGTGCTAATTTAGGATCTGGTTAAGTTGTCCTGGTAGGTAAGAACAAACTTCTCTTGAAAAGAACCAGAAGAGGGGCAGCCTGGGTGGCTTAGTCGGTTAAGCGTCTGCCTTCGCCTCAGGTCATGATCCTGGAGTCCTGGGACTGAGACCCGGGTTGGGCTCCTTGCTCAGTAGGGCGTCTGCTTCTCCCTCTCCCTCTGCCTGCCCCTCCCCCTGCTTGTGCGTGCGCTCTCTCTCTCATAAATAAATAAATAAATAAATAAATAAATAAATAAATAAATAACTTAAAAAAAAAAAAGTCAGAAGACTTGATATGTAGCCACATTGATTCTAGCTCAGCCCCTCTAAGAAATTCTCAACTCTTGACCAAATCATTCTGGAACTGGCAAAGCCCAAGAAACATAGAGCTCAAAGCTTTGCAAAAGCAAAGGAACTGCACTTGAATAGAAATGCTGTGTTTTTTAATTGATAAGTTTAAGTTTTTGACAATGGTGAGCATCTAAAACACGAAAAGCATCTCTAAAGCAATCATTCAGTTGGTGCTCCATTAGAACATGGTGCAGTTCAACTCACTAGACCTCATCAACGAAAAGCAGAAGTCCAGAAATGATTTGTGACTTGTCTGAGGTCACATAGCATCTCAGTGCCTTCTCTCTCTTTAGCTGGAAGGGCCTATCAAGTCACCCAAGTGTGACTAAATCTTTAGGAAAAATGTAGAGGTCACTGAAAATACAGCTCCCCTGACTGGAGGACCTAGAGAAGGCTTTCTAAAGGAGTAGCAATATGCAGGGCCCCAGAGGGAGAGGGGAAGTTTGGGGAGCCAGACTGTACCTAAGTGGGAAAGATAACTCAAGGCAGCCCTCAGGAGAGACAGAACTCTGCAACAGTTCCAAAACGCAAAGGTTTTGCTGGCTGAGGCTGAATACAGTGAGACTGGGTGAGATCAGAAGAAGCCTCTGGATGGAAGAAGGGACCCAGCGTGCTTCATGAGCGGCAGAAAAGCAGCCCCGCTTGGAATCTAAGGCTCGCAAAAACTGAATGAAGAGTGAAGTAACAGGTCCCTCCTAAATGTCTCAGGTCCCCAGACTCCAGCGGAAGGGAGAAGGCTGGGGTTCTGATCCCCCTTGCCAATATCCTTCCTTACCTCCTCTTTGAATTTCAGCTCCCATGTTTGGGGCATAGGGACCTTGGGATGGGGTGGATCTCGGCCCTGGGAGACGACAGAATGCCCTTTCCTTACACCTGTGTCCAGGAGCTTCACAAGCATGTCCTGAAATATGTGCTGGGACACCCCTGTTTTGGAGCCTATCTCCTCTCAAGAAAGCCTTAGAAAATTATTTTATGCATTTTGGTCAAACTCTTCCAACCCCAGGGTTTGGCATGCTCTTCCAATCCTACTCCCATTCCTGACTCACTATTTTAAACATAGATCCAGGTGACATGTGGCCATATGAGGGCCGATTTCAACTCAGGGAGCCACAGAATGTCAGAGCTGGACTTCATTTTATAGAGAAGGGCTAGAAAGATTAGCTGAACTGCCAGAGTCATTGAATGAATTATGTGGCAGAAGTGGGACCAGAACCATGGTTCCTTGTGACCAGCTCAGAGATCTCACCAAGGCTCTGCCCTTAGAAAGGGTTTTCTCTGGGGGTGCCAGAGAAAGAGTTGCATGTCCAACTCTTGGTTTCGGCTCAGGTCATGATCTCAGAGTTGTGGGATCGAGCCCCGCATCAGGCTCCACACTCAGCACAGAGTCTGCTTGAGATCCTCTCTCTCCCTCTCCCTCTGCGCCCCCCCCCCCCGCTCTCTCTCTCTCTAAAATAAATAATAAATCTTAAAAAAAAAAAAAAAAGAAAGGGAAAACCCTTTCTTTCCAAAAGGAAACTCTGGAAGCAGGTTAGAGCAGGGCTAAGAAGCAACAAGGGACATGGATGCTTTGTCTCCCCACTTTTGTCATTCTTTGCCCCCACCATGTCCCACTTAATAGCCTTTCTTTTCTTTCTTCCCATTTCTCTCCTCTCCCCATCCTGGTGCCTTCCTTCTCCTTTCGCCCAGCTCACTCTTCTCTTCTGATCCCCTCTGCCTCCCTACTTGCTCACTTGCCAACCTCTCTGTGCTTTCCTCTCCTTATCCTTCTCCCCACCCCTTCTCCCCTCACCTCTTCCTCTTTTTCTTTCTCCTCTAATTCCCAATAGGTCGGGTTCTCGTCCCCTGTGGGGATTTTGACCCTGGGGTCCAGGAGGGAAGAGGACACTCAGGAGCACACCCTTCCACTCAGCCTCGCTTCCCCCGTATCCTAGGAGACTGACTGAACACACTGCTCAGAGAATGCGACTTGGAACCCAGGTGTTCTAGGTCTTGGTGTTGCCTCTGGCTTCTGAAGGTAGGATGGGAAGGATATCACAGCTGATGCAGGTGCAGTGAGGAGAGAAGGAACAAAGGATTGGGAGTGGGAGCAGGACTAAGAGGTGAGGAGCAGAGGATGAAGACTGAGAGTAAGAGATTGAGTCCTCACTGTTCACACCTAGATGCGAATGTGGAGATCCTCGAGGACACAGATAATTACCTCTATAATATCGATGAGAGGATAAAGACACAAAATAAGGTGGGAAGTGGCCAGGGCTGCCCGGTAAGATTTGGTCCTCAACTTACAGGTGGCTATAAGAGATGGACTTTGGCAGAGTTGCCAAAGGTGCCAAAAGCATTACAGTGAAATTCGGGGTGTCTCAGAGCTCTCTGAGGGGCAGGAAGAAAGAGAATCATTATGTCTACTCTCTTGCTTCTGAGCAGGATTATTGGGTGACTTCATTCATAGAAAGAGGACAGAATGGCTCTGGTCATAGGGAGCCTTCAGAATGTTAAAGCTTGAAGACTCTTTTTCTTTTTTTTTTTTTAAGATTTTATTTCTTTGACAGAGAGAGACACAGCGAGAGAGTGAACACAAGCAGGGGGAGTGGGAGAGGGAGGAGCAGCCTTCCCGCCGAGCAGGGAGCCCGATGCGGGGCTCGATGCGGGGCTCGATGCGGGGCTTGATCCCAGGACCCTGGGATCATGACCTGAGCTGAAGGCAGACGCTTAACGACTGAGCCACCCAGGCGCCCCGACTCTTTCTTTCATAACTCATCCAATCCAGAGGTTCCTGGCTATACTGATATCCCTAGGTCAAATAGCGATTCCTTAGCCCCACCCAAAAGGATGGAGCTCAGGAATATTTAAAAAAGAACCCCTACTACACAAGCAAGTCTGGGAAACCCTAAATTCCTACCACAGATCAGGAAGCTGCTGTCCAAAGTCACATAGCTGGTTAGTGGCAAAATCAGGACTAGAAGCAGGTGCTCTTCCCAGCACAGCCCTTGGGCATGCCAACAAACTGCCCTAGCCCATGGAGCAGGCTGAGAACAAGTATAGAGCTCAAACCCGGGCTCTTTCTAAGGAAATCTCATAACTCTATTGTTTCTATGATCTTCCCTGGGTCTTCGGTAATCCTCAACATTCTGCTAATGAATCTATCCTACTCCAATTCTCTCTCTTCCCTTACTAGGATGGGGCTCACTTCTGAGTGGTAGCTAAGAGGTCCCCATGTAAGGGGTGACTGCCACAGCCAGGAGGAAAGCTGCAAATCAAAGTGCTAGAGAGAACCAGGAGGTGGGAGCCTTGCAGACGTGTTAGGGCTAAGGAGTCCGGGGTACAATTTAATCAGGGGGGACAGGCATTTGGCGGACAGAGTTAGGGACTCAGGCAGGGCAGAGCTTGGGGCAGAGGCTGGTCAGAGCCTCCGGGCCCTTACCGTGGGCAGGATAGCGGTCCTGTGTCTGTAAGCTTGTGCGATGCTCTCTCCTGTGGGACGAGGAAACCCAGCTGGGCTCTTGCTCTTCTCTCTCGCTTGCTCACTCACTGGCTTCCTCCCCTTTTCTACCGCAGTTTGCTGCTGTGACTGGCAGACTTGCAGCTAAAGGGAAGGAGTAGGGAGGGGAGAGGTGTGAGCTCTTCCAAATCTTAAAGGCCCAGGACATTGGTCAAAGGGAAGGAGTTTTGGGGGAGGGGTGGTGAGACAAGGATTAAAGGAGGAGGAGCCCGGCTGCCCTTCATCTTGATGCCAGCCCTCATTGACCCCAATCCTGCAGTAGCTCTCCCGGTGAAACCCAAGGAGTGTCTGAGTTGCGTTGCTCCGTGAATCACTGCTTTTCATTCCGCACGGTTTCTCCCTGCATGTCACACAGCTGTCTTTGCCCTGATTTCATCTGGCTCCTTTCCAGGGTGTCTGTTCCACTGGCCGGCTTCTGTGTCTCTGTGTCCTGCCTTGCAGGGCACTCAGTCTAGCTCTGTGGCACAGGGTAAGAAAAAAAGAACCAGGACGGGGAAGGAGGAAGATGAGGAGAAAGGGAGGAGAGGAATGATCCTAGAGGGTAGAGGGACGGGTTAGTTAGTATCTCTGTATATTTTGGGCACTCGCTAAACACTGAAGGAATGCATACATAAATGCATGAAATAATTCATTTCTTCTTTCTTTACATGTATGCATTCTAGGAACGTTTGGTCAGCACCTCCAATATGCAAGGACACACGTGTGTGTTTATAAAGATGTGTGTAGAGATGATGTGGACTCATGGTATTGTAAGAATCAAGGGCAAAGAGTGGAGCACAAGATTGGAAAGACACCCAGAGGGAAAGAAAGGTGATGAGCTTCTTGCAAGGTGAATGAACAGGTGGCTGTAATAGAAACCGAGACTGAGGAAAAGGAGACCAAGTTAGGAGAGGAATATAGGGGATTGTAAAAGGCTTCATTATGGCCCCATACTACACACTGAGACCAAGACCCAGGGTAGTCTTGGCAATGTCCTGGGCTCACATGTCAGCAGCAGAGACGAATAGTCCCTGGAGCTCTCCCAAACACTGTGAGCTGGGACCTACTTTTGCTCTGCCTTGGAAAGACTGTGGGGTATGGAGATTTCTGGCCCAGTGGGTGGGAGTCAGGCAGCTAAGGGCACAGGGCACAGCCCTGGACTTGGACTTCTGTGGATTCTCTCCAGTGAGGTGTGTTTTAATCTAGGCATAGGGGGAACTAACTATATGAAATGATGCGATTTTAAGTGTGCTGAGGTCTGGCTACCTCTCATGGCTCCCCAAACACCCTTTGAGTGCCTAATATTCTACCATTAGTGATTATTTATAGCTAAACCTTTAGTCCCATTAAAATAAAATCCTCCTAAGTGATTACCATAAATGTCAGGACTGTGGTTACTTTGGGGAGGAGGGAGAGTTCTGATAGGATCGGGCACGTGGCTGGCTTCTGAAATAGCTGGCCAAGTTCTAATTTCTAGTCCTGGGTGCTAACGAGGGTCTTCCCTTTATAACTTATTCAACTATACATTTTCCTTTCTTTTTTTTTTAAGTAATTTAATTTTTTTTAAAAGATGTTATTTATTTATTTGACAGAGAGAGACACACAGAGAGAGGAAACACAAGTAGGGGGAGTGGCAGAGGGAGAAGCAGGCTTCCCGCTGAGCAGGGAGCCCTATGTGGGACTCAATTCCAGGACCCTGGGATCATGACCTGAGCCGAAGGCAGACGCTTAATGACTGAGCCACCCAGGTGCCCCTTTTTAAGTAATTTTATTTTTATTTTATTTTTTTAAGATTTTATTTATTTGACAGAGAGACACAGCGAGAGAGGGAACACAAGCAGGGGGAGTGGGAGAGGGAGAAGCAGGCTTCCCGCCGAGCAGGGAGCCCGATGTGGGGCTTGATCCCAGGACCCTGGGATCATGACCTGAGCCAAAGGCAGACGCTTAACGACTGAGCCACCCAGGTGCCCCTAAGTAATTTTTAAAAAGATTTTATTTATTCATTTATTTAGAGAGAGAGCACACAGGAGCAGGGGGAGGGGCAGAAGGAGAGGGAGAGAGAAACTCAAGCAGACCCCATGCTGAGCATGGAGCCTGATGCAGGGCTCGACCTCGAGACCCTGAGATCATGACCCAGGCTGAAATCAAGAGTCGACAGCCCAACCAACTGAGCCACCCAATTGCTCCAATACTTTAGGTAATCTCTACACCAAACGTGGGACTTGAACTTGCAACCTGGAGATCAAGAATCGCATGCTCCACCGACTGAGCCAGCCAGGTACCCCTAACTATACATTTTGTGTAATTTTCTCTATCTGTATTATATTTTACAACAGGAGGGTTTCTGATTTTTGCAACTGGTAATTTCTGAAGTTTTATTGGTTTTCCACCATTCACTAGTTGAGTTTCCATATTCTCCTGAGAGCAGAGTTTTTTGTTTGTGTGTTTGTTTTTTTAATTTACTTATTTAAGTAATTGCTATACCCAATGTGGAGCTTGAACCTGCAACCCTGAGATCAAGAGTCCCATGCTCTTTTGACCTGAGACAGCCAGGCGCCCCTGAGAGCAGGTTTGGATAAAGAAAGAGGAATATGCAGGGAGGGGAGGCTAAAGAGGGAGGCCACTCATGGGGAATAGAAAGATTAAGGGGGCATCAAAATTTAAATGGTGCTGACTTCACGTTTTATTTAATAGAGCCCCTGTCTTCCTCTCCCATTTCTACTCCCCTAACATCATCATGTCCTTAGTTTTCCACGCTTCCCCCTTACATTCCTCACTCCTTCTACACTCCAGGATTATGGACGCTTTGCCTCTACTGCCTCACCTAATTGCTGCCAAACTTCCTTCCCTTCTGCGGGGGGTTCAGTGGGGGTATTATCATTCCTCCTGGGTTTTCTGGGAGAGTTCAGATCTTAAATATTCTTTTTCAGTGTTTTCATAAACATACCAATCCTCCCCAGATCATGCGTCCTGATTTTGGGGGGCAGGCACTAGGGAGACCTTCACAAGGTTAGAATGGCTCCAAAGAGTGACTTAGAAGACATCCCTGCTGCAGGGCGATCCTTAGATCCAGGGAGGGAGCAGACAGACGGGGGTGGGGGTGGGGGGTGGTACAGGAACTGTCCCTGTGGTTTGGTTGTTCTTATTTCCATAATGATCCTGGCCCTCCCCCACTGTTGTCTATTATTAACAGATCCAGAAACTTGATCAGGGCAGCAGCAGCAGAGGGATTTTCTGGGAACCATGCCCAGGAAAGGCCCAGAAGCCCTACATTGAAATGAAGGGGCAGCCGGCAAGGAGGGAGACCTAAACACTGTCCTCTTCCACGGCCACGCAAACCTAGACCTTCCTCCTTATACACAGTGGAGATGCCCTAAATATCTTGCTTCTCGGGACTAGAGAATCAGAGATCAGTTTCCAGTCCATCCAGACAAACTACTCAAACTTCTGAAATACAGCCCATCTTCTTCGTGGTCAAACATGCAGCTCAAAGTATTAAATTCCACTTAAAAAATCATCAATATGAGATCACTTGTGGAATTAAAAGCCAGGATACCTAACTTCGGAAGACCAGAGAATATATAGCCATTCCTCAATTCTGACATTAAAAACAGAAAACTAAGGGGAAGGGGAAAAGGAGGTATAAAATCAAAGAACAAGATGATGGAATTAGAATAAAAAATACAAATGGTGTAATATTCCATACTGAGACAAAACCTTCAGAAAAGGTCATAAAACAAAATACAAGTATGTGCTATTTTAAGAAGCATGTCTACAGAAAGGCATTAAAAAAAATAAACTGCTGCATAAATCTTAACAACAAAGAGGTTGAAAGTTAAAGGAACATATCTGGGAACAGAGACTCCACTTTTGTCCTTATTCAAAATTGCCTTGGCTGTTTTGGCACTTTACATTTCCATACAGATTTTGGAATCCTCTGCTTGTCAATTTCACAGAACTAAACCTGCTGGGATTTTACTTAGAGTTGAGTTTAACCTGCAGATCAATTTGAGAACACCGGCATCCTTACAATATTACTTTCTAATCCATGGAGTAGATATATCTTTCCATTCATTTCTTTCAAAAATGCTTTGTTGTTGTCAATGTAAAGGTTCTGCATATCTTTCAATGTATCTATTTTGAGCTATTTGATTTCTTATGCTATATTTTTTTATTTTTAAGTAATTCCTACATCAAACATGGGGCTCAAACTCACAACCCCCAGATCAAAGTCACACATTCTTCCGAAAGAGCTAGCCAGGCACCCCGTTGTATTTTTGAAATTCCTTTTTTTTTGTATTTAGAAACACGTAATTGATTTTTTTGCATATTGACTTTGTATTCTGGTACCTTGCTAAATCCATTTCATTCTAAGAGTTTGCATATTCTTTTGGATTATCAATGTACACAGTCATGTTGTCAGCAAAAATATTTTTCCTTTATAATCCTTTTCTTGGTTTATCACACAGGCTTGGACCAGTATAATGATACATGGAGGTGTGGCAGTGGACATCTTTGGCTCAATCTTCATTTCATGGAGGAGGATTTCAGTATTTTTTCATTGAGAGGTTTACTATAGTGTTTTTGTCAATACCTTTTGTTAGATTAAGGATGTGCCCTCCTACTTCTGGTTTTCAAAGTTTTTTTTTTCTCTTAATCGTGAATAGGTATTGAATTTTGTAGTGTTCTTTTGTGTATCTACCTAGATTTGATTATTTTTCATGTATTGAATCAATCTTGGTTTTTTACAGTAAACCCAGATTAGGTATGGTGCATTATCAATTTTTTTTTTTGCTAGATCTGATTTGCCTATTTTTTCCAGGAATTTTACATCTACTTTCAAAGGACAGTTCAGCCCCTGGTTTTCCTCTGTGATATCCTTGATGGGTTTTGGTCTTCAAAAGTGAATGGGGACCTGTTCCCTTATTCCATAGTCTCTGGAACTTCATGGAAGATTAGTGTGTAAGACATGAGTGATGTCCCTTTTTCTAACATTTTTTTGGTCTAAGGTCTACTAAGGTTTTATCAATTTTATTGATGCTTTCAAGGGAATGACTTTCTACTTCATTGATTTTCTTTCTTGGACATTTGTTTTCTATTTCATTGACTTTTGGTTTTTTTTTTTTTTTAATTTTCCTCTTTTTTTGAATCTGCTATCCTGTTTCTGGACATAAAAACTTAGATCACTGACTTCAGCCTTTCTTTTTAACATGTGAATTAAAGTGAATTATCACTTTACCTGTATACCAAAGGTTTTGATATGGTGTATCTTATCAATTTTTTTAACTTTGTGATTTCTTCTGTGACCCATGGGTTATTCAGAACTGTACTGCCTGTTTATTTTTAAAGTTAGGGATTTCCAGTTCTCTTTTTCCTAACTTAATCCCCGTGTTGACAGAACAATATTTTAATTTAAAAAAAAATTTTTGAGGCCTGATGGTCCACTATGACCAATTTCAGTAAATGCTTCTGGCGTAATTAAAGAGGATATGCACACTGTTGATTTAGAGTACATTACTCTTTTTGTCAATTAAGTTAGGTTTGTTACTTGTGTTGTTCAACTCATGTCATATTAGTTTTTGAAATAAATGTATTAAAATATTTTTAAAAAAATTAAATTCCACAGCATTCAGGAATTTCATTTCATTCTATGCTTTCCTATTCCAAATGTTTTCTTTGGGCTTCTGACAGCAATACCTGTGTATATCGCCCCACCCCCAACCCCCCCTCAGCCTTTGAGCAACAGGAGTAGTGAGCAAAGGAATGCTATATACAGACAGTAAGGAAGGCATGCTCTGAGGTCTACCAGTGCCTCTCCTTGCCCTGTTCCACCACTCAGTCATAGGCCCTCTGATACCTTGGAAAAAAGCTGGAAGCAGAGGTTGGCTCTGTCCCGCTGAGTGCCAGAAACAGGCACGGAAACTCTTGGGATGTGTGCTAAGTCTTGAACCTCAGGAAGAAATGAATATTAAAGTCTGTGATAAAATGTTTCCAGCACTACCTCTTCACTTCAGGTCTCTCCCACACCATACTAAATTCTGGCCATGACAGCCAGGAGTGAGGTTCTGTTTCAGCAAAAGACATTTTATCAGATAAAGGGTACCACCCCAGCCTCCCAAACAGCTCTTATCCAGCAGCAGGACTCTTCCCAAAGGACCTAGCCACAGGGGAACCGTCATTGCCCTCTTGGCAGAACAGTGTGTTTGTGTCCAACAGATGGCAGAGGCAGGAGTGACAAGGATCATGTGACCAGAGTGCCTAGAGATCTCTATATTGACAAAATCAAATCTCCAGTTTAAAGGAAAAATTATTTTTATAAAAACAGAAACAGGTTTTATTTCAATCCTGTTAGGGAGTAAGAGGGATGGAAAACAAAAAAATGAAGGGAGGGGTCTCTTTATACACACATGACATCAGGATCAACTACAAGGAATAGAATAATACCCATTTTCATCCCTCCCCCAACTCCTAGGTGGGGTCCAAGGCCAGCTGAGAATAGATGGAACAGGAATTAAGACACAGTATGGCACAGTAAAATGGCCAACGCACCGAAAGATGGAGAAGAGAATTTCCCAGGGAGCAAGGCCCTGGGTCTCAGCTGCTTCCCCAGTGGAGGGGGAATGAGAAAACTTTGGCTCAGCAGGAAGGCAGTTGGCAAAAATCAGAGATCCCTTAGCTGGACTCTCCAGATCACAAAACTACGGGCTGAGGGAAGTCCAGATGTCTATCCAGTCCATGGTGTTCTCTGCTTTCTCCAAGACCTCTTCTCTTCAGGCTTGAGACTGAGAGCTCACCTGGTTCTCCTCTTCATCTTGTAAGGCAGGGGAGTAAGTGCTTATTCTACCCTTCCTACATCTAGGCTACTTAATTACTATTTTCTCGGCTCCTGAGACAGAAGCCAACTAACAATGCCGGCCCCCTTTGTGAAAGTCGGCTTGAAAGAGCCCTTGGTTGGCAAATTTGCCTCTGCAGAGGTTTCTCTGAGCTTGCTCCTTACAGACAGAGCCTCCCCAGACTTGCTCGGAGATACCTTCATTTGTGTGAGATGTGGACAGGAAACTTTGTCTCTCTCTAGCATTGGACTAATAATCCCATCTTTGGAGATGGGGATAAGAGAGCGAGCGAGCAGGTGTTGGCAGGGGGAAGGACTGGGGGAAAGCAAGGCAGTTTACATTGTGTTACAGATTCGAATCTCTGGATTGTGAAGAATCATCTAGAGCTCCAAAGAAGGCAGGGGGATTCTCTGACTCAATATGAACAAGTGGAAGTATTTTAGTGGCTACCCTGTAATTCCCACAGACCAACAGGGAATGTGTCCAAAAAAAAAAAAAAAGATAGCAAAGCAGCAGCGTCAAACCCTCTATCTTAAATCTGAATAAAACGAACTCATTCAGCTAATACCACTTCAAGTACAATCGTGAACACAGATGGCGCTGCGGAAATTCATACTAAAGAATGGGATCAAGTAGCCTGTCATCTTGATCCCAGGCACCTTTAAAAGTCATCCAGAAAATCTCTCTGAGGACTGGAATTGAAGGTGGAGTCCATGCCGCTTTACCTCCCCCAATACAATACCCTTCCAGGACAGCCGGATGGATTAAGACGTCTGTTGAAGTTTAATAAGAGGGACGTGAAAAAGGGAAAAGCACTGAGGTTTGGCAGAGCTAGCAGCTAGAGCCAGAAACAAGGTGAGGGTCCTTGTGGCATCCAGAACTGGGGGCAGAAGGACGGAAAGGGAAGGGAGAGAGGCAGCAGGGTCCTGTCGTCCTTTGGCTTTACCCTTCCCCTGCCTCCCATTCCTCCCCACAGTTCATGCAGCTACTGGCCTGCTAGAGGGGATGCAATGCCCAGACCAACTTTTTATTAAGCTTATGCAGCTAACAGACTTGTAAACAGTGCCAATTGACAAAGTTTTGCTGAGTATTACAGCTGGTGTCCACTAAACACACCTCTCTCTGACATCAAAAACAAAAGACCCAAGTAAACAAATACTGAGAGAGAGGATGAAGAGACACGTCTTGAGTCTTCCAGGAAGGCAAAATAAAAGACCGCCACCCGGCTTGGTCCCAGGCGTTGCGCATGCCTCGCGTGCTAACACGGTCCCGGTCCCGGTCCCGGTCCCGGTCCCGGCCACGGCCCCACCCTGCCCGCAGCCGGTCCGGGTTGGGGAGAATGGCCATCGCGGGCACGCTGCAGACACAGCATTTGCTGGTGTGGACACCCTCCTGGAGCTGTGGTGGCAGGCTGCTGTGTCAGGAGCCCATCTCCTGGGACGAGCGGAGGGAGCCCAGGTCCCAGAGGCAGCCCATTCACCCCAGCGGGGCGACCTTGCCCCTGTTCTCCAGTGCACGTCAGCATTGAGGTTGTCTATTCCTGGTCGGCGGTAAAACCTGAGCTGTTTTCCTCGAGGATTCCCCACCCCCAACTCGGGGGAGTGGTAGAAGGGGACAGGGGAGGGTCACTGAGGGGGCAGGGGGATCCCCCGAGGATCGGTGACCTGGCCCTCTTGCAGGTTCTTCACCAGTTGTGCAAGCCAGCGTTTCGTGGTGGTGTCATCTTTTAGCACCTGGGCGAAGGTCGTGTCCTTCAGCTGGTCAGGGAGGCACTGCCTGAGCGCTTCACGTGCCCTATGTCAGAGACAAACAAGCCAACCGGGGAGACCAGCAAATAAACCCACATCTGGGAGACAGGGAAGAGGCCCTTTCTTAGACATAAATATACAGAATCCCAGGAGTATGAGGTTCAGTCAAGTTATCTTAAGAATCCATAACAATTCTTTAAAACTTGTCTTAGCCATGGGCTCAGAGATCTCCATGATCTGTCATCTGTGAACATTTTCAGAACGATGTCTCAATGTGGAATTCCAAGACACCGCAAAATGGAATGGAATGGTGCAACAGTTGAATTCAAACTGCTTTCTAATTTATTACAGTAAATACTGTCAATATGTTCATGGTAAAAATAGATGGGTTATAGTAACCGGAACATTTCCAAAATCAGTACATGAACAGGGAAAGATGACCTGACTCACAGTATGACAAATTAGTGAACTTTAATTCTAAATTAATATAAACTTGTATCTTTCCAAAAACTACCTCAGTTTCTTTTCTTCCTTTTTTTTTTTTTTTAAGTAAGCTCCATGCCCGATGTGGGGCTCGAACACATGACTCTGAAATCAAGTCACATGCTCTACTGACTGAGCCCACCAGATGCCCCTGCTTCAGTTTTATAGTTAAAATGCTTAATAAGAGATGAGAAGTAAAAACACAAGTATGGTAGCAACATTATCAGATGAACTTTCAAATGTTTCATTTTCTTTAAAAGATGTGCAGTAGAAAGTCAAATCTGAAAACCTCAAAACGGTAAATGTTAATGGTTTATAAAGCTGTTTTAAATAAAGTTACAGCTTTTGTACTCAGACTAGTTTAAAGAAACATATTTTCAAACTGATGAAAACAGGAACCACTGAAGGACAGGACGAATGGTTGAAGAAATAGCTAGGGCTTGAATAACCTCAGTGGCAGAAGGCTGCGTTCACATTAAATTGAGTTATCCCTATTCCTAGGAACATAGAAATTGCCCCATTATGTGGTTTAGCAGAACCTGAGCAAGTGGCTTTCAGCATGAATTATGGATTTACAAAGCAAAAGGTCAAACATTTCTAAAATGCATTATTATCTACAATATATGATTTCTGACAGAAAGATTATGAACATAGGGAGATAAGAAAATTAGCTCAAGAACTTTAGAGGAATCAGAGAACAGAAAATATAATTCAAGCGCCCTCTGGGATCTATTCCTTTCTTAAGAGATCTTTGAAAATATATTTCTCTTTCTGACCACCTGGGGTAGCAACAGAAAGCTCAAACCACAGGAGTAATGTATCATAAGGTTCCCTGGGAACTGTCTGGACTCCCTGGAATGCCAGAGGAGGGCACAGAGTTACAGAGATAAAACTCTGATGGATTTTTTTAAAGTAAGCTCTATGCCCAATGTGGGGCTTGAACTCATGATTCCGAGATCAAGAGTCACACGCTCTACTGACTGAGACAGCCAGGCGCCCCCAAAACTCTGATGGATTTTAAAATTTAGCACTTGAGATTTTAAAAGGATTTAATCAAGTTCTGTCAGACTAATTATTGTTATATCCCTTCTCTACCCTAAAGATACAGGAGCTATGCCATGAAATGGGGCAACTATTCACCCGAGTATTTCCCCAAACTCCTATAAATCCTGGTAAATGTTTACCTGGGATTATCTGAGAGTCGAAGGTAACACCTCACTACGTGCTTCAGCAGACGGGCGGAAGGCTCTTTGGATAGCTGCAGGACCATCTTACCCTGTTTTCCCCCAAAATGGGTCGGGGTAGGAAAAAACACACAAACACAAAATAATCCTAGTTGACATCAGAGATCAGAGATTTTAAGAATCATTATACAAGGTTCCGGGAAGCTGTTCAGTGTCAGCTGCAAAGGGACTAAGCTGTTTGATCAGAAGTAACTATAATGGGAGTGGACGAAAGAACTCACCAAGATCATGGCAACGTGGGAGAAACGCTCGTATGTCTGACATATATATGCCAAACCTGTGTCATCTAAGAGGATCTTCTGGAGGATGAATGTGGCAACCTGGAGTAAAAACAAAAATGGAGTCCAAAACGTTGCTCAGACTTGTCTTCCAATGATCGAGTCATCTTCCGGGAAGAATTGTGAATCAGAAAATGAAGCAGAGACCCTGACAATATGCACAACATAGTCAACAAGATATGCACAGTTTAATCAAAATAATTAGCATTACCATAGTGAATACTTACTATGTGCCAAGATATTTCCTAAAGGCGTAACATGCTTTTTCTTCTCTTTTTTTTTAAAAGATTTTATTTCTTTGACAGAGAGAGAGACACAGCGAGAGAGGAAACACAAGCAGGGGGAGTGGGAGAGGGAGAAGCAGGCTTCCCGCGGAGCAGGGAGCCCGATGCGGGGCTCAGTCCCAGGACCCTGAGATCATGACCTGAGCCGAAGGCAGACGCTTAACTGACTAAGCTACCCAGGTGCCCCACTTTATATTCACAATACACCTATGAGGTAGGTACCACTGTTACTCTCTTTTACATAAAAGGGTAGGTTCTGGGTAATTATCAGATTCTTAAAAATGTAGGTACTTTTTCAGTTATCAAACCCCAGCTATGTGGCAGGCATAACTGCTAATCAGTAACTTGTAAGGTTAGGGTCCCAAGTGACAAAGCCTCTAAGTCGTGGAGTTGAGATCTAAACCTACTTTGAATACAGAGCTTTTTCTCTTTTCCATGGGCCAAGATGAGTTTAGAAATTCAGCTGTGCCTCATCTCTTCCCAATGAGGTAAGTAAAGCTTTTCCTACTCGTGTTGTATATGTGTGTACAATTTATTCATACCTACTCTTTTTTTTTTAAAGTGGGCTCCATGCCCAGTATGGAGCCCAATGCAGGGTCCGAACTCATGACTCTGAGATCAAGACCTGAACTGAGATCGAGAGACAAGTCACTTAACTGACTGAGCCACCCAGGTGCCCCAAGCTTTTCCCACTCTTAAAAGATCTTTAATAATTAAGATTTTTAAGCCTTCCTTCTAACACTATTCCAGCAATAGTAAAGAATACCTCAATTTAAACTCATTAACTCTTGCACAGAAGGGACTAAAAAATACTAGTCTAATTCAAGTCAAATTTTAATGATTCCCTTCCTTGGTTGCTCATTAGAACCAACTGTGGCAATTATTTATTTTATTTTACTATTTTACTTGAGTATAAAATTGTGGTTGGGCTAAATAATGGCCCCCAAAGATATCCAGGCCCCAATAACCAAACTATGTGAATGCTACTCCTATGGCAAAAGGGACTCTGCAAATGTGGTTAAGGATCTTGGGGACAAGGGTGCCTGGCTGGCTCAGTTGGAAGAGCACATGACTCTTGATCCCAGGGTTGTGAGTTCTAGCCCCATGTTCGGTGTAGAGATTACTTCAAATTCAAAAAAAAAAAAAAAAGATCTTGGGGAGATGAATCATTCTGGATTATCCAGGAGGGACTTAAATGTAATTACAAATGTCCTGATAAGAGGGAGGTGGAGGGAGATTTGACCACATAGGAGAAGGCGACATGACAGAGCACAGAGATTTGAACATGTTACACTGCTGGCTTTGAAGATGGAGGAGGGGAGCATGAGCCAAAGAATGTAATTCTTGAAGCTGGAAAAAGCTAAAAAGGGATGCTCCTAGAGGCTCCAGAAGGAATGTTGCCCTACCAACATTCTGACTTTAGCTTGGAGAAACTGATTTACAATTTCTAAGTTGCAGAACTCTAAGAAAATAAATTTGTGTTGTTTTAAGCCACCAGGTTTGTGGTATTTGTTATGGGAGCAAGAGGAAATATACATAGTAAAATGTGTATAGTGCATATATATTTTTACCTATGTACACATTTATGAACCACAACCAGATTAAAATATAAAAGATTTCCAGCACTCCAGGAGATTCCCTTGTGCCTTTTCTCAGTCAATACCCTTCCCTGAGCAGGGCGCCTAGGTCACTCAGCAGGTTAAGTGTCCAACTTTGGCTCAGGTCATGATCTCAGGGTTCTGGGATCGAGCCCCACATCAGGGTCCGTGCTGAGCGGGGAGTCTGTTTCTCTCTCATTCTGTCCCTCCCCGTTTGTGCACGCTCTCTCTCAAATAAATAAATCTTAAAAAAAAAAAAAAAACCCTTCCCTGAGAAGTAAACATTACTCAGACTTATCCCCACTAATTGGTTTTGCCTGTTCTTGACTTTCACATCAATGGAGTCATACAGTATGAATTCATGTATGTGCTGGCTTCTTTTGCTCAATATAATCCCTATGAGTGTCATCTATGCCGCCTTTACCCATATTCTTCCTAATTACTGTGGAGTTTATTTTGTGGCTATACTATAATTTATCTTTTATGAATAAGGCTACTGTAAACATTCTTATACATACTGTGATGTACACAAGAACTCATTTCTCTTGGATATATCCAAGAGTGGGACTGCTGGGTCACAGTGTAGGATTATGTTGATAGTGGTTACTGCCAAATAGTCTCCCAAAATAGTTATACCGCACACTCACCTAGGGGGACTTTTTAAAAAACACCAATGTCCAGACTTTACCATCATAGAGAATGATTCAGTAGGTCAGAGATGGGGCCTGGGCATCTCCATTTTTAAAACACTTCACTGGGGTGCCTGGGTGGCTCAGACAGTTGAGTGTCCGACTCTTGATTTCAGCTCAGGTCATGATCTCAGGTTTGTGAGATCAAGCCCCAAGTTGAGCTCTGCACTGGGCATGGAGACTGCTTAAGATTCTTTCCCTCTGCTCCCCCCGGCCCTGGCCGGACACCCACCCTTCCCTTAAAAAATAAAAACAAGGGCGCCTGGGTGGCTCAGTCGTTAAGCGTCTGCCTTCGGCTCAGGTCATGATCTCAGGTTCCTGGGATCGAGTCCCACATCGGGCTCCCTGCTCAGCGGGAAGCCTGCCTCTCCCTCTCCCACTCCCCCTGCTTGTGTTCCCTCTCTTGCTGTGTCTCTCTCTGTCAAATAAATAAATAAAAATCTTTAAAAAAAAATAAATAAATAAAAACAAAAACAAAAACCACTTCACAGGTTGAGACCCTCTGCTTTACTGAGTACCTATTACAGCAAGGTGTTAGACTAAGTATTGTACATAAAAAGCAAATGTGGTAAGGTTTCTGCTTACATGGAGCAAAGGAAGGTAAGCCAGGAGCTATTCATCATACCAAACAGAATATGCCATATAAGCTAATGGGAACCTATATGCATTCAGAATGGATTAACTCAAGTAATGCGCAAAGAACGTAAATAGGGGAGGGATCATTAGAATGGAGTTCCTGAAAAAGGGAGAGATGTAACAAAAGAAAGGGGTCTTTTTCTACCCCGTCCATAAGAAGCCAACTTGAAAACCTATTCATAGGCAACCACTAATATAAGATGACAGAGTACAGTTGTATCCATTCTGATCTTGTCCCAGAAATCTACTGAAATTAACAAAACTCCCTAAAATTAGGGAAGAAATGAGAGAAGAAAAACATGCACATAGATCCACACGTCACTTACCTTTTATGTGTTTAAGCAGAAAAATGCATACAGAGGTATAAATACCTCCCTAACAAACATCTACCAGATTGGTAAATGGGATGGAAAATATTCGGAGATAAAATATTTGATTTAAAAGCTGCCAACATGAGCTCCTACCACCTCTCTTTCCATTATTTTTAAACAAATAGTGATTTTGGATAAAATTGCTCCCAATTGAAAGCTTTTGCAAAGATATACCTGGAGAAGAGGTAACAAGTAATAATTACCTACATTTTCAAAGAAATTGAAGGAAACATGGATTTTAATCAAAAAAAAAAATTCAAAGAGGATAAAAATTTCAAAGAAGAGCTGAAAACACATGAGAAGTGAGAGGGCAACCACGAAGGAAAAAAAATCAATACAAAATTAAACTGTAACATGCACACATATAAACTACTTCTGGAAGGATACAAGAAAGTGGTAATACTGGTTACCTGCAGGGAGAACTGAGAGGCTGAGGTAGGAGACTTATTTTTATTTGTACTACTTGAATTTGCTACTTTATATATATATCATGTTTAAAGTTAATTTATCTTTTTAAGTACTCTCTATACCCAACATGGGATTTGAATTCAGGAACCTGAGATCAAGAGCCATGTGCTCTTCTGATTTCCAGGTGCCCCTGTATTGCATGTTAAAAATAAAAAATTTTAGGGGCGCCTGGGTGGCTCAGTCGTTAAGCGTCTGCCTTCGGCTCAGGTCATGATCCCAGAGTCCTGGGATCAAGCCCCGCATCGGGCTCCCTGCTCCATGGGAAGCCTGCTTCTCCCTCTCCCACTCCCCCTGCTTGTGTTCCCTCTCTCACTGTGTCTCTCTCTGTCAAATAAATAAATAAAATCTTAATAAATAAACAAATAAATAAATAAATTTAAAAATTATTACATCTGCTTATATCCAACTCAGCATTAAATATTCATTGAATTAAAAAATTAATTCACAGGGCGCCTGGGTGGCTCAGTCGGGTAAGCGGCTGCCTTCGGCTCAGGTCATGATCCCAGAGTCCTGGGATCGAGCCCTGCATCGGGCTCCCTGCTCGGCGGGAAGCCTACTTCTCCCTCTCCCACTCACCCTGCTTGTGTTCCCTCTCTTGCTGTGTATCTCTCTGTCATATAAATAAATAAATCTTCAAAAAAAAAATTAATTCACTATGAGTGAGCATACTTTAGAAGCAGAGGTAGGATATTGCTAAAAATAGCAACACTGAAAAGTAGCCTTGAGGAAAATCACCTGACATAAAATAAAAAAGCAGAAAGCTACTAGAGAGGGAAAAAAGATATGTATATAGCATAACTGATGTTGCTGAAGTGAGAGGCCAAAACAAATTAAAAACTATAAAAATTAACAAGAGACACAAAGTAGGCTCTTCCAAAAAAAATTTGATATAAGATTATCAAATGAACTCAAAAATAATAAAAGAAGCTTACAGAAAAGGCAAATTCACTAAGAAAAGGAAAAACTTAGGCTGGCCCAAGATTTCACTGTATATTCAATATCAGACGACAACAAAGCCATGGCAACAGAGTTCTGACAGGGAAAATTAGGTAAGAGTCTTATACCCAGCCATGTTGTCATTCATAGTTAAAGATCAAAATAAGTAGAAGCTCAAGTACGTATAGTATACACTTCAGTATGCATAAAAAATGTCTGGATTAAGGGGTGCCTCGGTTGTTCAGCCTGTTAAGTGTCTGCTTTTGGCTCAGGTCATGATCCTAGAGTCCTGGAATTGAACCCTGTGTCAGGCTCCCTTCCTCAGCGGGGAGCCTCCTTCTCCCTCTCCCTCTGCCTCCCACTCCCCCTGCTTGTGCTCTCTCTCTCTCTCTCTGACAAATAAATTAATAAAATCTTTAAAAAAAGTGCCCTCTTACTGAGCAGGGAGTCTGCTTCTTCCTCTCCCCCACTGCTCATGCTCTCTCTCTCTCAAATAAATAAATTAAAAAAAAAAAAATGTCTGGAATAATACACCTTTGGAGAGTAGTTTCAGAGAAAAGGGAGAAATTCAGTGTTTAACTTTATATTCTTCTTAAGGGTTGGGGTTTTTAAATGATCATTTTTTAACAATTTTTATCTAAAAGAGAAAATAAATACATAGAAGTTTCAAGAAGCCTGAAGGGACACAGAAAATGATCCTAGGACCATAAATAGTCCAAGAGCCAACACAATATAGAATCTACGTTGAAAAGCACATACCGTTTTAGAAAGTTCACTTCCAGATTCCATAATGCGCAAACACAAAGGGATAATTTCTGTTGTCAATAAAAAGTTGATTACTTCCTGCTCATCTGTTTTCACTAGGGCCCCTAAAGAAAATATGGACAAACAAAATTATTTCAGAGTCAGGGTTTTTAATTAAAATGAACTTTGTAGGGTTCATCCAGCTAGTTGTGGAACTTAAATAACAGAGAACACAAACTAGGGTTCATGACAGAGAATTAGATTCATACTGATATTAAAAAAAAAAAAAAAGAGGAAGAGAAAGCACAGGTTGACTGTACCAGCATTTCAAAGATCAGGTACCAAGTCTGGTCTATCACATAGTCAGCAGCAGGTCAGCCCTCTAAACCATTTTTCTATTACTCTTGGTAGACAACCACACAATAATATCTCCATCTATTCTCCATTTACTTTAGGTTAGAGAGAAGAATTCTGTATCAGTATAAAGGGATATTCCCAGGTAGCAAAGAAATGGGTGTCAGTTTGAATCCTACTTCACAATGGACATAAACAAACATTGCTTCTTGGTTAATTGTCACTCTCTCCTAAGTGTGCAAACATGGTAAGATGTACACAAACAAGAAACACACACACACACCTCAACTCTAATCCTAGTTGCACAACTAGTTTACCTAAATTTGATAGAGTTACCTTCTCTTTATAGGCTTGTTTATAAAATGAGTTGGAACAAATGATTTCTAAAATTCATCCCAATTCTATTTTCTAACCTGACACCACTGACCAGATAACAGACACAGTTCAGTGTTAATCGTCTCCATTCTCTATATAGGGAAGCAGAACTCCATTAAACAAATGATTGGTCCCCAAGCTACCCAATGTATCAACTAGCTTTTATATAAAAGGCCTAGGTTAATCAAATCTGTAACAACTAAAAGCAATCACTTCAGAAGAGAAAGGAATATCATTTAACAAGAACTGGCAATCTACAAATGCTACATCTTTAAACGTCATAGCAAACAGCATACACCATAATTTACTAATATGGCCTAAAGCAGATGTCCAATTACTATTTCATTTCGACTTTACATGTAAGTCTAAAATCCATTTGGAGTTAATTTTTATAGAGTACAAGTATAGATCGTGTTTCATTGTTTTACATATGGATATCTAATCGTTCCAGCACCATTTATTGAAAAGACTATCTTTTCTCCACTTAATTGTCTTTGCACCTTTGTCAAAAATGAATTAACCATACCTGTATGGGTCAATTTCTGGACTCCCCAATTCTGCTCCGTTGATCTACAAGTCTAGCTTTTCTCCAATACCATGCTGTCTTGACAACTGGTTTTCCAGGACGTCTTGAAATCAGGTAGTGTACATCTTCCACCTTTGTCCTTCTTTTTAAAAACTGGATATTCTAGGGGTGCCAGGGTGGCTCAGTTGGTTGAATGACCGACTCTTGGTTTCAGCTCAGGTCATGATCTCAGGGTCCTGGGATCAAGCCCCATGTTGGGCTCTGCTTCCCCTCTTCCTCTGCCCCATCCCCAGGCTCACACACCCTCTCTAAAATAAATAAATAAAACTTTAAAACAAAAAACCCTGAATATTCTAGTTCATTTGCCTTTCCATATAAATTTTAGAAACAGCTTGTCAGTTTCTATATAAAAAAAAAATCCTGCTGGGATTTTGTTGGCATTGTTCTAAATCTAACTATCTATCTATCTATCTACCTGTATGTATATATGTATATATGTATATATATATGTTTGGGGGAGAACTGACATCTCAACAATATCGAATCATTGATATACCAATTAATGAACATGGTATATCTCCACTTATTTAGGTCTTCTTTGATTTCTTTCATCATTGCTTTGTAGTTTTTAAGCTACAGATCTTGCACATCTTTTTTAACACTTACATCATGTTTTGGTGCTATTATAAATGTAGGTTTTTAAATTTTCAATTTCTGTTTTAGCTAGCGCATAAAATAGACAATCTAATTTTTTTCTAATTTGTATGCCCTTTATTTTTCTCTTGCCTTACTGCAACAGGTAGGATTTCCAGGATGATACTGAATAGGAGTGGTGAGAATATTTATCCTTTATTATATATATATCATATATATAATATATATTATCTTTGCCTTATTCTCAATCTTAGGGGGATAAAGTGTGGTTTTTCACATTAACTATGATCTTAACTGTAGGACTTATTTTTTAAAACTTTATCGGGTTGAGAAAGTTCCATTTCTACTTTGCTGGAGTTTTTATCATAAATGGATGAATACTATCAAAAGTTTTTTTTTTAAGCTAAAGAAATGGGCATATGATGTTTCTTCTTTAGTCCGTTGATACATATTGACTGATTATTTTTTTTAAGATTTTTTTTTTAAGTAATCTCTACACCCAATGTGGGGCTTGAACTCACAACCCTGAGAACAAGAGTTGCATACTTTACCAAATGAGTCAATCAGGCACCCCTGTATTTTTTTTTTTTTTTTAAAGATTTTATTTATTTGACAGAGAGAGACAGCGAGAGAGGGAACACAAGTAGGGGGAGTGGGAGAGGGAGAAGCAAGCTTCCCACTGAGCAGAGAGCCTGATGTGCGGGCTCAAGATCCTAGGACCCTGGGATCATGACCTGAGCCAAAGGCAGAAGCTTAATGACTGAGCCACCCAGGTGCCCCAGGCACCCCTGTTTGACTGACTTTTGAAAGTTAAACCATCATGCAATCCTGGGATAAACCCACTTGGTCATGATGATCCTTTTCATATATTGTTGGTCTTGATTTGTTAACATTTTGTTGAGAATTTCTACATCTATGTTCTTGAGGGATACTGGCCTATAGTTTTCTTATAATGTTTTTTTTCTGGTTTTATTATCAGAGTAATTAATGCTGGCCTCACCAAGAGTTTAAAAGCCTCTATGTTCTGGAAAAGTTTTGTAGAATTGGTATTATTTCTTCTTTAAATTTTTGGTAGACTTTATCAATGAAATCACTTGGGCCCAGAGTTTTCTATGGTGGAAGGTTTTCAACTACAAAAACAATTTAATAGACATAAGACTATTCAGATTATCTATTTTCTCGAGTACAGTCCGGCAGAATGAAACTTTCATAAAATTTGTCCATTCACCCAAGTCATCAAATTTATGGGCATAGAGTTATTAGCGGTAGTCATTATTCTTTTAATGTCTGTACAGTCTGTTATAACATACACCCTTACATTCCTGGAACTTGTAATTTGTGTTTTCTCTTTTTTTCCCAGTCTATCTGGTTAGAGGTTTATTAATTCCATTGAATTTTTTTCAGTAAAAAATTGGGGATGGGTGAATGGGTAAAGGTGGTCAGAAAGTATAAACCTTCTGTTATAAATAAGTCCTGCAAATGTAATGTACAGTAACTACAGTAACAATATTGTATTGTATATTTGAAAGTTGTTAAGATGATAAATCTTAAAGGTTCTCATCACAAGAAAAAAAAATTTTATAACTGTGTGGTGATGGATTTTTAAGATTTTATTTTTAAGTAATCTCTACACCCAATGTGGGACTTGAACTCACATCCCCAAGATCAGGAGTCCCATGCTCCACCAACTGAGCCAGTGCATGTGTGGTGATGGATGTTAACTTAATGTAGTCATCATTCTCCAATATATACATATATCAAATCATTATGCTGTACATTTAAAACTAATACAATGTTATATGTCAATTATATCTCAAAAAAAGGTCAGCTTTTGGTTTCATTGATTTTACCTCCTGTTTTTCTGTTCTCATTTTCAATGATGTCTATCCGTTATTATTTCCTTCCTCCTGTTTAATTTGATTTGCTCCTTTTCCTAGTTTTCTTAAAGTGGAAAGCTTTGAAATTGATGACTTCTCTTCCTTTCTAGTATTAGCATTTTATGCTATAATTTTCCCTCTAAGCCCTGCTTTAGCTGCATCCTGTAAGTTTTAATGTTTTTATTTTATTCATTTTCAAGTATTTTCTAATTTCTTATGTATCATTTCATTTATATTCAAACCTGTCTGATAACCTTTGAACTGTAAGCAAAAAGTCTAGGCCCAAATATTTACCTTCTGCTTGTACTCTCAATTGACTTGGAGAAATTAACTTTTGGAAAACATATGCAAGGATAGACAATGGCTTAATACTGTCCCAATATCTTTTTTATCCCCCTACAGTTAACTTTATCCTAACATCTCCTAATGATCATCTAACTGTTGTGGTCAAAAAACCAGCAGAAGTAGGATGATTTAAATCAGAATTAAGGACAGAAGCGTTTTCTTTTGGCTGGTACCTTGTTCATGTTTTAAATCCTATATAAGAAATTTTCAGAGCTTAAAAACAGCAATATATTGGGGAAAAATGTTTCTAAATAGAGTATTATTTGGAGCGGATGTAAAAAAAACGGTAACATTCATTTGGAGTATAGGAGATAGGAGTTACTCCTTAAATGTACAATAAAATGTCTCTGAGAAGTATGTCTCAGAAGTACTAAACTTTTAAACTGATAAGAACAGATACTACACTTGATCTTAGCTAAAAGGCCGAGAGAGGCGATAGAAGTACTAAACTTTTATTTTATTTTTTTATTTTTTAATAAAGGTTTTTTATTTATTTGACAGAGAGAAAGACAGCCAGAGAGGGAACACAAGCAGGGGGAGTGGGAGAGGGAGAAGCAGGCTTCCCACCGAGGAGGGAGCCTGATGCGGGGCTCGATCCCAGGACCCTGGGATCATGACCTGAGCCGAAGGCAGATGCTTAACGACTGAGCCACCCAGGCACCCCAGAAGTACTAAACTTTTTTTTTTTTAAAGATTTTATTTTATTTATTTGACAGAGAGAGAGACACCTAGAGAGGGAACACAAGCAGGCGGAGTGGGAGAGGGAGAAGCAGGCTCCTGGCTGAGCAGGGAGCCCGATGTGGGGCTCAATCCCAGGACCCTGGGATCATGACCCGAGCCGAAGGCAGATGCTTAACGACTGAGCCACCCAGGCGCCCCAGTACTAAACTTTTAAAGTATACTTCCTGACTCATAGTTTATAATCATAGGGATATGAACACAGGTTGAACATAAAAACAATAACCGAAGAAAACAAAGTTTGTACAATCAATGTTCTTATTGTTTGGTCAGTATGTGAGCAAAAACTACGAGATAAAGACATTGAAGGGAATTTAGAAAGAAACTTTCTTGAATCCACAAATCCAAAGACAGGTCTTTATTATCTGGGAATCTGAGATCTGAAACAGCTAATATATTATTTTCTTGAGTAAAATGTACTTTAGACACATCTCCCATAATAAATATATGTAGGAACATTAATTTTGGCATGCAAAAATTCAACTAGGTGAAATAGAGGACAAACATATGTAGTTACGGGAGAACAACTTAGAAGTTAGAGAAACAAAACAAAACAAAAAAACCAATGCAAATTCTTCTTCTTTTTTTTTTTTGAGAGTGTGTGGGCTCAAATGGGGGGGGGAGGGGCAGAGGGAGAGGGGGAGAGACAGAGAGAAACCCAAGCAGGCACCACACTCAGCACGGAGCCCTACGTGGGGCTCACAACCCTGGGATGACGACCTGAGGTGAAATCAAGAGTCGGACACTTAACAGACCGAGCCACCCAGGCATCCCAAAAAAACAACTCAAATTCTCATCTCTGTAATAATACTCTTTGTTGACTTCAGTTTCTTTATTCTCCCTATGATTCCAGTAACTGTTCTGCACATATGCTGAATTTAATCATGTTGGGTCTCATACCTTTATTATCAAGTGCCACTCAGAATGGCACTTGATACGAACTATTGTATTACTTATTTACTTATTACTTAATATGTATTATTTATTACTATTTATTCATTATTATGTCATTTATTAGTGAAAATAGATTCAACCTCAAGGACAAAAACGAACAATTGGTGAACAAAAGCTATAAAAGACAAAACACCTAAGATCACTATTATGATAAAATGAAGATTTCAGACCTGCAAAACCACCCCAATAACTTACCAATAACTCCAAGACTGGTTAGCCGAAGATATTCAAAGGGCCGCGTTTTGCTGACGGTGTGCAAAAAGGGGTACAAAAAAAGTGGGATGTGTGCTGCAAGAAATGCTGACCTGGAAGAAAAAAATAATCCCAGTCAGGGCCCAGAGTTCATTTCTAAGGATTCTGAACATTCAATTTCCGGGTAGTTCGTTCTGTAAGGCCTGTAACATTGCCTAACCAAGGAAAGCTCTAGAAAAGAGTTACTGGTCATTAGTCTAGACCAGTGGTTCTCAACTGGAGTGATTTTGCCCTCCAGGGTACGTGTGACAACGTCTGGAGATATTTTTGGTTGTCACAACCAAGGGCATGCTATTGGCACCCAGTGAACAGAGGCCAGGGATGCTGTTAAACATCCAACGGTGCACAGGATAGCCCCCTTTCACCCCTTTCCCCCACCACAAAATCTAGCTCAAAATGGCAGCAACATCAAGGTTAAAAAAAAAATCTAGTGTAGGTCTATGCTGAAGAAAATACATGATTTTCCCTATTATCAGCACCAAGTACCTCAAAAACTGATAAAATATCCAACTGTGGATTTTAATAGGTCATAAAATGCCATTACGTGCCCAGGAGATTCTCCTAGGTGTCTTCCCTCACCTAATTTATGACTGCATAAGAATATTCACAGGTACAGTCAGACAAAACCTTATAGACCAAGATGAGAAAACAAAGCAGCCATGATCAGATTTATCTATGTTTAAATGCACACCATTCTTTTTTTGTTAGAGCAGTTCAGATACAGTAAGTATTTGGAAACATTTTAAAGATTTTATTTATTTATTTTAGAGAAGGAGAGAGCACACGCAGGCGGGGAGGAGCAGAAGGGGAGGGAGAGGGAGGGTAAAGAATCTCAAGCAGATTCCATGCTGAGTGTGGAGCCCAACTTGGGGCTCCATCTCACGACCATGAGATCATGACCTGAGCTGAAACCAAGAGTTGGAGGCCTAACAGACTCAGCCACATAGGTGCCCCTCTAAAAACATTGTAATCTGAAGCTAATATGTCAGGCAACTAATATAGAACCAATCTATTACTTTGTATTATTTATAGTTAACTAACGTTGTGGGAGAGCGCTCTAAATTTTTAAAACTCAAAGTACTCTCCCATTTTTCTTAAGTGCTTAAGAATAATTTTCATAGTTAACTTCTCTAAAGTTCTGCAATGTCAGTGCCAACCTAGCACTCAGATTTTGTAATTGATAAAGAGACAAAAGACTTCAATAAGATGACTGTTAAGTGCCTTGGAACCATAAAGGTCACAAAACAGATTATTGAACAGGATTTCCCTTTTCTTGTCCGATGTAGCAGGTCAACTGGCATGCCAATTCTGATCTAGTACAAGGTTGCCTAGGATCCTGTGTTAAGAAAGATTCTGAAGCCAAATCTAGGTTCAGTGGGAAAAAAATGTTGGGTTCAAATATTTACTGAATTCCTAGTAAATGCCATGCACTGTGCCTCACATAGTGATGCCTACCATGGATTCAGGAGGGAGAAATATCTACATGTCTGATCTTTCTTGGGATGTGAACACCACTCTTTTATTTTTATTTTTTTAATAGTAAACTCTACCCCCAACGTGGGGCTTGAACTCATGACCCTAAGATCAAGTGTCGCATGATCTACTGACTGAGCCGGCCATAGGCCCTGTGAACACTCCTTTAAAGTTCATTGCTATGAATGGGTCAAAAGTAAATAAGACAATGGATTATCATTCATCCTTAAAAAGGAAATTCCGACATATGCTACAATATGGATGTTATACTAAATGAAATAAGCCAAGCACAAAAAAACAAATACTGAATGACTCCACTTAAATGAGGTATTAGAGTAGTCAAAATCAAAGAGACAGAAAGGAAAATGATGGTTACCAGGGGCTATGGGAATGGGGAGTTATGGTTTAATGGGTATCGTTTCAGTTTTATCCAGTGAAAAGAGTTATGGAGATGTATGGTGGGGATGGTTGTCCATTATAAATATATTTAATACTACCGAACTCTAGGTTTAAAGATGGTTGAAATGGTAAGTTTGTTATATATATTTTACCACAATAAAAAAAAAGGCAAAAAAATTTTATAAAAGAACATGTTAAACAATACTGTACTGTTACTACATGAAAACTTGGTGAATTAGAGAAGAGAAATTCTTCAGGGAAAAAAAAAAAAAAAAGCAAATGAGAATCCTGAAGATCCACATCCACACACATGCTTCCTGCTCCTACTGCATGCCCTTCCTCTCATCATTCAGAAAAGACCGTATTCGATACAAACCTCCATCACCAGGCTCATCAAAGCACTGACCTGGTTTCCGGGTGTGACGCCACACATTGCAGCAAAGCCAGAGCATTGCAAACTCTGTTAGACTGGTGTGCTGTCAAGGTGGGGGGGTTGATAGATGGATAAATATTCACAATTTCCTAAAAAATGGAAACCAGCACCAGATGAATAAAGAGTAACTACTTCAAAATTAATTTCCATGGTATTAAAGCAAAAACCCTACAAACCCCCAACCCGTAATTCCATATATCCTGCAAGAACTGAATCATCAAAGTGCGAGCAAAAATAAACAAATAATGCTCCTACCTTTTCATCACAAATATACCTAAGACTATGAGACATTTCTACGTAGGTCTCTAGGAAGATTCCTCTGGAGGCAATTGTGGTCACCTACATTTCCTCTTATATCCAGCATCTGTTGAGGCCTTCATTTGAGGGGCTATGGCTGTTATTGCTATAATCCCTTCTTTTTGTCAACACCCTGTTTTGAGTTACAGTGATAAGATAGTTGGCCAGATAGCAAGTGTCAGTAAATCAACCACAGTGACTCATAAAGAAGTCTGAGTTTGGTCAGGTAGCAACTGCAGACAGGGAGAGGTGAGAAGAGGAGTATACGCATGGAGATACGTACAAACGGCAGTGAATATGTGTACTCTCTGCCCAAAGGGGATCATCTGCTGTAAACAATTCTTTTTATTTTAATTGTAAAACTTTTATTGAAAATGTAAAGATAAAAAAGATAAGTTTTGGGTATTAAGAATACACTTATTGTGTTAAGCAGTGAGTAAAGAATTATTCAATTGTTGAATCATTATATTGAACACTTGAAACTAACAGAAATAATGTTAATTATACTTTAATTAAAAAAAGATTAGTTTCTTGGCTACATGAAGTAGGAATTGAATGTAAATTTATTTAACAGATTTGAAAAATTAATTATTAGGAATTTTAGACAATACTTTCAAGGATGATTATTCCATTATCTTGGTATCAGCATTATATTGTACCAATTTATTCTCCACAAATGACCATTATAGTCAGAACCACATTTCAGTGATTTATTCTTTAATGTAGAAGCATACCTATCTCTAATCCTACAGCTGTTATATCTTTGTCTTAACATTTCTGTTCACCAGAATACACCCTGCGGTTCTTATACTTTACCTTCCACCTTTTCCCCTCTGTCATCTAGAAATGTCTTGTAGTATTCCTAAAGCTGTGTTGCTCAAAGTGTGGTTCTCAGACTGCCTGCATCAGAATGACCTAAGAACGGGGCAGGTGCTTGCTAAAAATACAGATTTTGATTTTTATTTATTTATTAATTATAATTTTTGTTTTATTATGTTATGTTAGTCACCATACAGTACATCATTAGTTTTTAATGTAGTGTTCCATGATTCTTTGAAAAATACAGATTTTTAATCTCAGACTAAATAAATCTTTTGGGTAAAATCTATGAACCTGCATTTTAACAAGCACCTTAGACTTTTCCAAAACAGATTCTTACAAATGCTAACATTTAAAGAATCATTCTACTAAAGTCTTCAAAATCACTTGAGCAAAGGCAGAGAGACAGAAGTGTGATGAACAGGACTGAACTGCAACGCACAGATATATACCCACCTGTAAAAGTGCTGCAATAGTACCAAATGAATGCCACAGCATGGGTGCAAGATCAGGGACAGATTCTCGCTTCTTACTCAGCTCCAGCAAAGCATTTTCCCTTGTCTCAGGACTGGACAGCTCATTGATCCACTGATAGATTTTTTCTCTATCTACCTGAGCCAGTGCAGTAGGCACAGGCTTTAAGTGAAAACAAGAAAGTGAACATGTGAATTTCATTAGAGTCAAACCAAGTCTTACTCTGCTTTAGAAGCAATGTATTTTTCCCAAATACCAGGGGAGCTTTTCTAAATACATGCACTTAAGTAATCTATCAAAATCTAAAATGCATACATCCTTTAATAATTCCATGTTTAGGAATTTATCCCATAGGTGTACTTGGGCTGTACTGAAGACATAGCAGGATGCTTACTGTTGCACTGTTTTAAAAGCAGAAAACTTGAAACAGTAAATATCAACCAAGGATGGGTACATCTTTATTTGTAATACTATGTAGCCCTTTTTAAAAAATAGCTCTACATGTGCTGATACTAAATAAAAAAAAACATAAAAGGTACAGAACCATATATACGCTTCCATTAATAGACACAAGTATATTCCTATATATTCATATACAATGATTCTAGAATGACATGTAAGAAGCCTAACAGTAACAACTACAACAAAAAACTTAACTGTAATTAATTACTGCTAAGGTTGGAACCTAGATGGGAGATATACTTTTTTTTTTTTTTTAAAGATTTTATTTATTTATTTGAGAGAGCAAGCGAGCGAGAGAGACAGCATGTGCTGCGTGCATGAGGCTGGAGGTGGGGGGTTGGGGGGGTGGAGGGAGCAAAGGGGGAGGGAGAGGGGAAGAATCCAAGCTGACTCTGCACGCAGACCCTAATGTGGGGCTCAATCTCAAGATCCTGAGATCATGACCTGAGCTGAAACCAAGAGTTGGGGGGGTCAACCAACTGAGCCACCCGGGCGCCCTAATTTACTTTTCATTGTATACTATAAAATCTTCTGCATAGTTTAAACTTTTTTTTAAGCATATCGCTATAATAGTTCCTGAAAGAAAAAATATTTACACCCTCCCCACCCATTGCTGGTCCTTCCCCCGTTAATTCCAGCCTCCCCCTCCATGGAGCAGAAAACCTATGTAATTTGGAAAAGCTCCCTAGCTTCTAATGATTCTTATATATACTCTACCTCCACCCCTTTGAGAATCATTCATTACTTACTCATGTAGGGGCCATACAGAGAATTCTTTCATTATTGTGCTAAAGCATCACACCATTCCAAAAAACCGAGCATTTCTATAATTCTCCATACTTGTCAAACAGCCTTGAGACCTCGGTTAAGTTCCTTAATTACTCTTCTCTGGAAAATAAGATAATAGACTAGAAAAATGATTACCATTGCTATTTTTAGCTCTCATGTCCTAACATATTCATGATTTTTAGCTCTATGCCCAGTATTTTCTCACTTAATTCCCCCAAGCAAGGGGAATAGATGGGTAGATAGGGTAAGCAGAAAAAAGGCAACTACACTTGTAAAAGAGATCACTAACACTCAGAGGAATTAACCTGCTCAATTCACCCAAGTATGAAGCTGCATATTCCAGTGCCTTCTTGAACTGCATCACACAGCTTCCCATGGTATTTACATGTTCCCACTATACCTTAGTGTGACAGAATGATGACCTTACCATTGTACAGATGGAATGATGAGGAACAGAAAGGACAACTGTTTTTGCTGAAGAACAAAAGTTAAGACAGACTATGAGGTGTACTCAGAATTACTCTACCCAAGCTGAACAACAGCCTTCTATAAATGGAAGCTTGATTATAAGCTTTTAGCTTAATGTTTATCATTTCACTTGCTTGACAGAATGAACCACAAGGTGTTCTGCTAAATGGACTGAAATACCACGCAGCTCAAGTCTTCTTTAAGTGCCTCAGAGTAATCTGTTGAAAGGTGCTTTGTAACTCCCATCAGTGATGCTCCTCAAGGAAACACAGGCTCGCGCAGCAACGATATGAAGAGCAGGGTAGTTCTTCCCATCCCCCAACAGCAAAAGCAGCACTGACAAAGCACTTGCCCTTTCCAGGCTGCTACAGATAGGCCCTCAACTTAAAAAATTATTTTTGGAAATGTAATTCCCACCAGAAGACAGCGTATGTTTATTTAGAGTATTACATCACCTTAAAAGCTCAGTGGAAACAAGGGCTAAAATTTTAGCTTTGGGTTTCCTGCCCAGTCTCCTGGACGACCCACAATCCAGTAACTAAAGGGGCCTCAGAGACATTCCTCCAGCAATATAGTATCTATCCTGGTTAGTCATTACTCATTCAACTCTCCCTAAAGTTCTGGCGCCCTAATACCATCATCAGTAAGCTCTATTGCCCCCACTAGAGCCAGCCTGTAACTTGTATCTGGAATCCCTATCCTCATGCTGCCCTGGGGAGCCCCAGGTGAACAACAGCAGGATGGACTTGTAGCCACCAGTCTAGCATATCATGGCTTCTGGACACCAGGCCTCATCCCCACATAATCCATTTCCAGAGCTGGCCTGACTCCAGCAAAGAGATGGTGCCCCCTGCAGTGAGGCTAACACCCTGGAGGGCCAATGCCTGGTGACAACTTGGGTATCTAAGGTCATGGGCACCTGCTGCCAGCAATACTCCAACTTTTGAGGCTACTTATGGAGCTGCAGCCTCCACAGGGCTTTGGTTCTAAGAGAACTAGGGGCTCTGTAGCCATTCTAGCAATGGGAAGGCAGTGAGGGCAATTTGGTTCCAGGAAATACTTGGGATAAGGACCCTCCTTTACATCATCCCTGGTGAATTTTGCTCCCAACTTAATAGCAGGACTTACTTTAAACCCACTGAATACCTGTTTGTTACAGGATAAATACTAAATACAATTACTTCTGAAAATAAAAATGGGAGGTAACACGTATAGTGTTTACTCTGTCAGGCACTGTCCTAAATAAATACTTGTCACCACCCTCATTTTATAGAGGAACAGAGAAGTTATTTAACACTTAAGTGCCAAAGCCAAAATTTGAACCCAGGCAGTCTGGCAACAAAGTCTATTCTCTCTCTCTCTCTTTTTTTTTTTTAAAGATTTTATTTATTTATTTGACAGAGAGAGACACAGTGAGAGAGGGAACACAAGCAGGGGGAGTGGGAGAGGGAGAAGCAGGCTTCCCGCCGAGCAGGAGCCCGATGTGGGGCTCAATCCCAGGACCCTGGGATCATGACCTGAGCCGAAGGCAGACGCCCAACGACTGAGCCACCCAGGCGCCCCAAAATCTATTCTCTTAACTGCTTTGCTAAGGCTGCTTCTCACCTGCCGGAAAGATTAGGTCTGATCTAAAGATGACTTTCAAAAAACAAAAACAAAAAAACTATTTCCTGTGACCTGGACAAGAGACAGGGAATATGTAAACATCGCAGACAAAAATTAAATGTTACTGCTGTGAGTTCAGCAGAATCTGGAAACAATCAGCACCATGAATGTGAAGAGAAATTTTTGACTTAACTGAGATTACAAGGTACTTGACAATCATTTAAATGAGGAAGTCACTGAGATAGTTTGACATAATTCCCTATGTCAAATCATGGTTCACATGGGAATAATCTAGCTAGTGATCGCCACTAACGCACACTCACACACACACACCACCCCCACATACATAAACAGGTAATTTTATAACACATGCAGAAGTTCAGTTATTTTGGAGAATAAAAGGGAAAATATTTTTATATTTTCAGTTACATACTGATTTATGTACAGATGACTTCTGGGTTTGAACTGCACACGTCCACACATATGTGGATTTTTTCGATAAATACAGTACAGTACTCTAAAAGTATATTTTCTCTTCCTTACAACTTATTTTCTTCTCTCTACTTTATTATAAGAATATAATATATAATATTTATAACCTACAAAATATGTATTGATCAACTGTTATTGGTAAAGCTAGTAGTCAAGAGTAGGCTTTAGGAGGTAAGTCTTGGGGGAGTCAAAACTTACATGCAGATTTTTGACTGTGTGTGGGGGGGTGGGGTCAGCACCCCGAACCCCCACCTTGTTCAAGGGTCATCTGTATTAATATTAACAATTGATAAAATACTTTGGACATTATCCTTGAATAAATTTCCAAAGCATAACTCCAGCATCTCACTAGATCTTGATGGTAATAAAACCCCCAAATGTATCTTACTCTCTTTCTAAATCCCAAGGATCATTTAGGTACACCTTTCATAAAAATATGAGAAACAGAACTGTACTGTACACTTTATTTATTTACATAGGTATGTATTTTTGAGAGAGAGAAAGCATGTCCACCCAAGCAGGGCAGAGGGAGTTTTATTTACTTTTAAATATTTTATTTATTTATTTATTAGAGAAAGAGAGAGAGACAGCATGAACAGGGGGAAGAGGGAGAAGCAGGCTCACCATTGAGCCAGGAGCCCCACATGGGGCTCGATCCCAAGACCCTGGCATCATGACCTGAGCCAAAGACAGATGTTTAACCGAATGAGCCACCCAGGCACCCTGAAGGAGAGAATCTTAAGCGGGGTCTATACACAGCATGGAGCCAAATGTGGGGTTTGATCTCACAACCCTATCATGACCTCAGCTGAAACCAAGAGTCGAACACTTAACTGAGCCACCCAGGCAGCCATGGTACACTTTTTAAAAACATGGTTTCATTTAATGGTCAGAATAACTCGGTTATTATCCTCATTTTACAACTGATGAAACTATGAGTAAACCATGGCAGGTTTCCTCCTCCTCCCATTCTCAATTTAAAGATCCCCTCTAAAGATTCCTAATCCAATTGCTACAATTCTTTTAATTTATAATTGACTAATACATTTCTGAGACTGTGCCTGATAGGGAACTCCATCCAGTAGCACACACTGTTCAGTGGCTGATAAGCAATTCACCTATGACTTCTCTATTGGAGACTACTTTAACACATTAAAAATAATAGCAGGATACTACCACAAGAACAGGGGTTAACACCTCTTGAATCACATGAAATCTATGGATCCTTTCCTCAGAAAAATATACAAGTGCAAATGGTTTTGCACATAATTTCTTTTCCACAGAATTTACACATAATTTCAAAGAATTCATAGACGCTATGAAACTCATCCATGGATCCAGAATTA